GAGTATATTTATGTAAAAATTCATTAATAGGTACACTTTAGGCCTGTGCACTTTACTGTATGTTGATAAACATGTTTTAATAGGGAAATTAACATTTGAAACTTTGGAACCAACGATTCCACTGTAATGTTGTATCCCATGGTAATAAAGATGCCAATATTTAGTTCACTGTGTTATTTATAATGTTGAAAATTAGAAACCTCTAAAATATTGCCGGGAGAAATATCAATAATCTCAGATATGCAGATGACAACACCCTTATAGCAGAAAGCAAAGGGGAACTAAATAGCCTCTTGATGAAAGTGAAAGAGGAGAGTGAAAAAGCTGTCTTAAAAGTCAACATTCAAAAAACTAAGATCATGGCATCCGGTTCCATCACTTCATGGCAAACAGATGGGGAAACAATGGAAACAGTGACAGACTTTATTTTGGGGGGCTCCAAAATCACTGCAGATGGGGACTGCAGCCATGAAATTAAAAGATGCTTGCTCCTTGAAAGAAAAACTATGACCAACCTACACAGCATATTAAAAAGCAGAGACATTACTTTGCCGACAAAGGTCCATCTAGTCAAAGCTATGGTTTTCCCAGTAGTCATGTATGGATGTGAGAGTTGGACCATAAAGAAGGCTGAGTGCCAAAGAATTGATGTGTTTGAACTGTGGTGTTGGAGAAGACTCTTGAGAGTCCCTTGGGGTGCAAGATCAAACCAGTCAATCCTAAAGGAAATCAATCCTGAATATTCATTGGAAGTACTGATGCTGAAGCTGAGGCTCCAATACTTTGGCCACATGATGTGAAGAACTGACTCACTTGAAAGACCCTGATGCTGGGAAAGACTGAAGGCAGGAGGAGAAGGGGACGACAGCAGATGAAATGGTTGGATGGCATCACTGACTCAATGGATATGAGTTTGAGTAAGCTCTGGGAATTGGTGATGGACAGGGAAGCCTGGCATGCTGCAGTCCATGGAGTTGCAGAGTTGGATACAACTGAGAGACTGAGCTGAAAATATTCCATAGCAGGGAATGATAAATAAATGATGCTCCATCCATTTAAAATCATGTCATCAAACATTTCTTACTGGTACTGGAAAACACTAATGAGACAGTGTTTGGTAACTGATGCAGGTCACAGAATAGGAAGGAAACAATAACAAAGTAAAGACAAGTACCAGCTTTGTTTCCTGGTGCTGTGGTGATTTTCCTGGTACCCAAAGAGAATTACCAGCTAATGATGGGAACCAGTCGTGCTTTGCTGGCAAAATAACACCATCAACCATGGTTCTCCTCTGATTTATCTGTTTTCAGTGCAGGCACTGGGTTCTAGACATTGACCTGTGGTAGTCTGGGTGGACACAACTCTGGTGTCAATTAGAGATGTTTGGATTCTTTCAGGTTCTCCTTTATTCTGAAGCTCCTTTCTTATCCTTGGTCAACTCATGTCTGGAGCTGAGAGGTAGATGGTGGTAACCACAATGGAGAGGGAATGGTTAGGATGTAAATATGTATGTGTGTGTATGCGTGTCTGTGCATTTGTGAATACTGGTGTTGCCACTATTCCAAATATGCATGGATGCATATATGTGTATGTACACATGTAGACATGATCTCTCTAGTCTATATCCCCAAATTTGGAATCATGAAGGTACTATGGTAATTTAGCCAGTCAAACTGATCATCAAAATAAGAAAGTGATGGAGTGCTATGGCTATTCCCAGAGTGAACATGTTAGAGGCAGGGCGCCATCTGGCATTTTTCTAGTGGTCTGAAGGCTTTTGGAGAGCACGATCATCATTGGTTTGAAGGAGAAGAGAGAAGCAGGCTGAAGCCCCACTGGCAAGTGTCTCCTCATGCTCCTCAGTTTGCAACCCAGGGCAACATTGTATGCTTGATTAAGCTTGCAATGAAAAGGATTTATTTTAAGCCATTTTAATAATTTCTTTTTTATCAGAAGCTAACCAAGCAGTTTTATAGTAGCCTTCATTAGCATGAAAGACCTATTCCTTCATCTAGGCGGCTTGCCTATTGGTAAATTTTACTATGAGCTGGTGTATGTAGAAAACACACAAGTGTTTTGACAGGAAGAAAATCAGAATAGAGCCCATGAAAAATCGCCTCTTGCTTTTTAGTTGTCCGGCTCATTCTGAGTTAAAATAAACTTTCTTTTGGAGGAAAGGGGGTCTCTGTGCCAGGCTCAGCTGAAATGTGTTGTGGTTTTTTTTTTTTTTTTTCTGATTTCCCATTCTAGTCCCTCCACTTTCTGCCAGGTCCTCTGAGCAAACGCCCAGCATCTCTGGGGAGAAGACTGCTACTACTCTCTGAGCTGCCGCAGCTGCTGCTATTGTCACTGCTACTGGTCTCCAAGTCATTTTTAACTTGACTGAGAGCCTGCTGTGTTCCAAATCCCATACGGTACCCCGAGAGACAGTGTGAAGGAAATACACAGTACGCTGTTCTTTGAAATAGCCAGCTTCTCTAGTATTTTGTAAAACAGTGTTCCATTTTCGCGCCAGATTCAGGAATACAGATGGTGCTTAAAGCAAGGCTCCCTCCCCCATTAAGGGCACCTCCCGAGTTTCTGGCTTTGATTATAAAGGTCAAATTACATATGCCTTCTGTGTCAACTCACAGGTAATGTGCTTCTCTCTCAAGTGAAAAAGACAGCATTCGATCCATTGTAACCAGCATAGTAACAAGTTTCTGTTTGGCTTCTTTAGGGCCCTCTAGCTGTATGATTGCTATTGGGGAACCCAGATCCCGGAAGAAGGTGTAAAGCTGTCTTTTCCCGCCTGTATAAAAACCTCTTCGAGGCTACCTTCACAGCAACAAAATCAGTTAATTATGAAGTACTCCTGAGAAATCAGTGCTGGTTGCAGGAGTTCTTTCCATTAAATCTGTGGATATTTAGAGTGGGGGAAGGAAGAGACGAATAAACAGAACTGGAGACAAACATGGCAGAATGTATATATGGGGTTTCTCTCTGCCTTTGTGGGGCTCTTGAAGACTCTGACACATAAGCCAAACATGCTTAAGACACACACCTCTACAATCGTGGGCATCCTATCTCTATCTAGGACATGAATCACAGATTTTGAAAACGCATCTATAGCGTAGAGCTGCTAATAATACCTGACACAGCCTTCAGCCTGGCCCCTGGGGTGCCCAAGTTCTTGACAAAGGGCTCCCTTTTCAACCTTCAGGAAGCGTCTCTTCTTCCTTGGGAAGATGGGAAAGGACAAGGGCCTTTGGTTCCATTTCCTGGGTAAGGAAAGAAAGTAGATTAGCAAGCCAGAGTTGGAAAGAAACAGGTATTCTTCTTCATCCCATCAACTCTCAGGAGAGTTTTATATTTGATCTGGGTGTGTTTTGAAGGTACACATGGAGAGAGGGTTGTAGCAGGCATCAGGGGGCGGTGGTCGGAAGGAGGCCTGGCAAGCAGAGCCCGGGAGCTCTCACTGGGGCAGAGTGAATGCCTTCAAACCGTTGATTCACCCACTGCTCTCCCCTCCGTCACCTTCCACCTCCCTTGGCCACCAGGCAGATGTCTCAAGCCACACCAAGGAGACCTCCTCTTGTTCTGCCATTTGGGAGACATCAGAACCATCCTCTGGGCCAACAACAGAGTGATTCCAGCCCAAGAGCCTGGTGGGGTCCGGAAGGACAGGCTGGTGGAGGACCTGGTTGTTCTCCAAGAACAGGGACCTTCCTACTGCGTCCCCAGTTTTCCCTCGCCAATCCACAGAGGGCCTGTCAGCCATGACTTTCTCACTCTTGGCGAAGCTACTTGTGTTTTCATCCTGTTGCACCTTTCCGGGCTAATGAATTCTTCAGGTTTTCAACGTGCTATACACAATAGCATTTCTCTACTAGCTGTCTTAGCAGGAAGAGCACTGACCTGGGAGTCCAACCAACCTAGGTTCACATTCCACCTCTGTCACTGACTAGCTGAGTGAATACAGGAATTTTTCATCCCTTCTCTGAGACTCAGTTTCTCCATCTGTAAAATGGAGCTATTGATACCTCCTCTTCCTGCCTTGCATGGCTGCTGTGATGAGAAAATGAGATCGTTGACCTAAAAGAACCTTGAACAAAAGCACAAATTCAGGTGCTGATGCAGAGTCATATTTGCTTTTGCTTAATCTACATCTAGCTTTTAAGGGGGCTATTGGTTCTAGAATTCTCAGATTTGGTGAATAAGGCTGTGATCCCTTGCTCCATCTCTGCATAATTTTATACACTCTAGTCACATCCCTTCCCAGCCTTTATCTTTCTAGACTGAGGAGTCTGCATTTGTTTAATCTATCTTCATATGGCAACCCCCTCCACCCTCCCCCATCCCCTTGATTATAGAGTGGCCCTTCTCTGGATCATCTCCAGCTCCATTATGTCATTCTGGAAGCACTAAGACCAAACCTGCACAAATGTGCGTGCGTGCGTGTGTGTGTGTGTGTGTGTGTGTTCTCAGCTCTGAACCTCTTACTCTGTGTGTGTGTGTGTGTTCTCAGCTCTGAACCTCTTACTCTGCCCCCTCCCCAACTGTAAATCCTAGAACAGGATGCTAGCCCAAGACCCTCTCTCCAAAGTACAGAGAAGGCCACTCGGCCCCAGGCTGTAGCCTCCCCCTCTTTCTCTACGCAGTCCCGGCCCCAAGGGGCTAAAACGGCTCCCTGTCTGGCTTGGGAGGCTGGGAGGTGGATAACTAGGATGGGGGGGGCGAGGGGGAGGGAGGAGAGGGGTCTTGCGCAAGCGCACGTCGCTGCCCGGACCGCCAATGCTGCTGCCTCCCGGAGCAGAGGGAGGCAGGAGAGGAGGGAGGGAGAAGAGGGGAAGGGAGGGGGAGGAGGCACTTGGGCTGCAGCTTGCAACCGAGGCAGTCTCTTCTCAGCTCTCCGGAGGGACGGGGAGCGGCAGCCGCGGAGTAGGATGCTCTGCGGGGCGCCCTGAGCCGGGGGCGCCTGAAGCAGCTTCGGGGGCCGGGGCCACAGGGCAGTTCTCACCATGCATCAGTCCCTGACTCAGCAGCGGTCCAGCGACATGTCCCTGCCGGATTCCATGGGTAAGTCTAGCAGCCCTGCCTCGGGGCGGCGGCGGCCAGGAGTGAGTACGCTGCCCCCTGGACCGCGAGCGCCCGGGCCGCCCCGGGGAGCCAGGGGGCGGGAAGCGGGGCGAGGGAGGGGGGTCCGCGCGCCCCAGCATCGGGGTCGCGGACCCGAGCCCCAGGGGAGCGGCGCGGCGGGGGCGGGGGCGACGCGCGGAGCTGCGAGCGTCCAGCTTGCGTCGGAGTATCGCTTACGGGAGTGCGGGTGTGCGCGTGTTTGTGTGCGTGTGCCGACAGACTCGCAGCCGGCGGTAAATCTCAGCTGTCTGGGGATCAAAACACTTCCCTGCAACCTGCGCCTTCGCTTCCCATTCGACGCTCCCTCTTTGCAAAGTCCCCGTCACTTCTAAGAGCTCACCACTAAAGATAATTAGAAGAAACAGGGTCCTCGCCCCCTCCCAACTCAGTCGAAGCTGCCCTGAAATTCAGAGCTGCAGTGGGGGGAAGCCTGACTTGCACCTCGCTGATGGGGGGGTTTGCGCAACCCTGGGGGATGGGCGGCAGGAGGGGGGTAAGAAGAAACGGGGCGGGGGGCTGGCAGGAGGGGAATTCCTTAGGAATCTCTCAAGACAGCACAGCTCGGCTGTCTGCAGCGTTAGGATCAACATTCCTTGAATTTGATTCCTATTTTGTCCTAGTGCACGGAGTGTGCGTTGTTTGTAAAAAAAAAAAGGGGGTGGGGAGAACGAGTGAAAGCGCAAGAAAGAGCGAGCGCGAGCCCGCGCATCTTCTGAAGTCGCGCTTTTCCTCTCCGGGTGGAAAGGAGGGGGAGGGGGGGATCCACTAGCCTGATTTTGTTCAACACCTTTCCTCATGAAAAGTGGGGGACAGCTGCCTCCAGGCATAAACTTGGCTGCTCCTCGAAGCCGCTTTTAGGTAGTTACAAACAAACAAAACCCCCCGTCCCCCCTCAGCTGTTAGGCACCTACCCAAGCCCTATGATTTCACTGGGCGGAGAAATTAATTTGGAGCCCAGGAGAGCGGGAGGGGATCGTCAAGCCACGATTCCACCTAATCTTCACATTCGCCTCGGATACATTTGAACCACATCGAATCCCCGCTTTCCAACATACTTTACATTCTGCAAAATCCCTCTGTCCCGAATTCTGGCCATCCAGCCTGCTCAGGTCTTCTCCAAAGAATTTGCGGGAACATCGAGGGGAGGGGGCAGGGAGAGGATTAAACTCCCTACGTAAGCTCCCTACTGCCTGCAAAAGACTCCGTCTCAACAGAATTCGTTCACCCGAGGGGCCCCAGATCTCTTGGATGGTGGAAAGATCCGTTTTTTAAATGGTTTTGCCTATTCAGTACAAGAATTTGTTTTTAAAAATTTATTTTTAAGGGTGTAGTTATTTGCAACGTGGTACAAATAAGGCCAAGGACTCGGATCCGAATCCAGAACACAGCAGTACCAGACTCTCCCCACTCCCCAGGTCTCTCTACCCCTGCCCCCCTCCTTCAACGCGCGCGCGTGCGCGTACACACACACACACACACACACTCACACAAGCGCACACGCACACAGAATGCACTCCTCACCTTGGCCAGCTGTGGCGCCAACGCAGCCCTGGCTCCTCGACGCCCGGCTGATGCGCGGGCGAGGGCTGGATGGCAGAGTGTGAGGTTCCGGCTGCGCGCATTCCCGCAGCGGCCACAACCACCTGCAAAGCCGGCCGCCCGTGCCAGCCCCTCTGCCAGTGTGGGAGTGGGCAGGTTAGGGACCCCAGGTTAGAGCGTTGCTCTTGGGCACCCTGTTGGGCAACCAGGATGAAGAGAGTTCTTTCTTGGGCTCCCCAGGGGCCTTCAGCCAATCAGGCGTTTCCCGAAAGATCTGCGCAACAAGATGAGTGGGCTTCGCCCAGTCCAGACTCGACACTGCGGGAAAAAGAATCACAGATCCCATATGGACGTGCGAGCCAGCTCCACGCAGCCCGCTTCGTAAAGTGCGCAGACCCAAGGCAGAGCAAATTCCCGAGTCGAGCGGTACCCTGGGTTTCCAGAGTTTGGACAGGGGAGTCTCCCCGGAGTTCCCTGGCGTAGGTCCCGCAGAGCCCAGGCCTGAATCAGCGTCTGGGCTACTTCGGAGCTGCTCCCACTTACCTCAGCCCTGGCAACGCCACCTTCCCTTGCATGGGGGAGGGGAAGTGGAGGTGGGTGGGTTAGTGTTTCAGCCTCCAAGGGCAGCATTTCTGAGGGAATTCCCTCTACACGCAGGACACAATCTCAGCCAAAACAATAAAATAGAAAACACACAGACACACACTGCACCAAGGTGCCTGCACTCTACGCTTGCCGGCTGCCTGGGAAAGAGAGATGAGTCCGCGACCTGGGCGGAGCAGGCGCTTGGACGGTAATTTGACTCCGGCGCCCCTTCATCCCCCTCCGGCAACCCCCATCTCCCTTTTGGCAACACCGCCCCCAGGCGCTAAAGCACCTCTACTACAGCGGGGCTCTCCTTCCCTTGCAAATAACACATTTGTAATTCACCGGTGGACTTGGAGGTCTCTGGTCCAAGTATTGCCTGAAGCGGGGATTTCAGCACCTTTAACGAAACGTTTGGGAGATACGAAACGTTTGGGAGATTGGCAGAGCCTTGAGGCTCTTGCGTGGGCAGCCACATGTTTCCACGGATGCTCAAGGCTGGACTTCCTGACACCCACCCTGTATGGTCCAGCTGACTCAGGTAAGCAAATCCTAGTGGGTTCAAAGGTCAGCGCGAAGGATTAGCCAGTCAGCAACAACCTAGTGCCCAGGACAGAATTATGGGCCTCAGTCCTTGCTGCACTCTGATAGAGACTGCATCCTCTGTCATCAAGGTGGGAATTGAGAACATGTACAAGGTTAAAAAAAAAAGTGAGCAGACACCATCCATCCTACCTTCTGACAACCCACACCTTGGTTCCTGTCAGACATATAAATCTGGGACTGGTGGATATCTTATGGGTTGTGGACCAGACACACAATTACAGCATAACTGTAGCAGTTATAGTGAATAGACTTCCTGAGTGAGGTAGCTAGGAACTCAGGGACATGAAATAGTGATGAGTGATTAGAGGAGAGCAAGCTTGATCAAGGAGAACTTCTTGGAGGAGGTGAATTTTGAGCAGGTCTAAGAGGAAGGGAGGGACCCGGATTCACTGACCGCAGTGCAGGTGGGGGCTCTGACCAGGGAGGGGCCTGGGAGGAGGGAGAAGCTGGCTGTATTTGGAAGGGTGGAGATGGCAAATAATTGGGCCCTTCTCAAGAGCAGAGCATCTTGGCCGTCATGAATCTGGGCTGGAGGTGGGGCACTGCAGAGAGGGAGGGCTGCAGTGGTTCTGCAGGGAGGCTGCTGGGGGCGGAGGGGGGGCAGGCACTGCCAATGACGGGACTCAGACTCTCCCACTGCTGGTGGTTGCAGGGGTGGTTGTTGTCTAAACAAAAAGATACTGGGCACCATATAGACAGGCTACTGGGAGCCAATGGAATTGTCCCACTGGTTGGGCAGAAGGTTTTTTGTGCTGGGGAGCCCTCAGATGTACCGTATTTTAAAAAAACAATTCTATGAGTGTTGCCTATGTTTATTCACACACCCCACCCCCCAGCCTTCTTGATTAGAAAGGAAGCGATTCTGAGATGTGGCCTCTTGTTTATTCAACAAGTATTGATTGCTCACTAGGTATCAGACACTGGTGGGCGCTGTTTTCACATACCTGCGGCTGTACTGAAGTACCTCATGGTGTTTGAGGGTTTGTTTGTTTGTTGTTTTATTTTGATGCACTGATTTAAAATCAGAATAAGATGTCCCTGTGTATATGGGAACATCTAAGGCCGGCCCCACATTGTACCCTAAGAAGAACAGAACTCTGCTTCTCCATTCTTCAATAAAACAACAGCCAGGAAAATGTCTTAAGGAGACACAAAGAGCTGCTTTTGGGAGCCTGGACCACACCATCAGAGAACAGGTGTGTCTTGCTCGAGATAGATGTGACTTTTCAGTCAAATTGCCTCTAAAGATAAATGGAAGGGTGCTTCTTCACTTTTCAAAAGGATTCACCCTGGGGTTCCTTAAAATGGTCAGCTCCCTAAATTCAGCTAGAGATAATTTCATTCTATACAATTTTAATCCTTATAGTATAAAACAAGGGGTGACTTGGGGGAGGGTGTGAGGGGCCAGAGGGTAGATATTCAACCTAGTGATGGGAGAGTTTTCTTAGGAATTTGATCCAAAGCTAATCCTATCTGGGGGTCAGGCCCTGTGGAGCTCCAGGATCTCTGCCTGGGTTTCTCAACTGACTGGATTTTCAATTCAGGTTCCAAAGCAGTAGAAAAAAAAAAAAAACAGATTTTCAAATGACACCATGTGGTTTGCTGAGTCACTTTTCTGACCTGGCTCCTGTGCTTTTAAGAGTTAGAGTGATATTTGCTAAGGAGACCCAAGAGCTGTGAATAAAATCAAAAGCCAGTTGGCCAGGAAGGAGCCAGGCAAGTGATATAGCTCCAAATTTAGAAAGACTAAGACTGTATACACACACTCCCCCACCTCTAGACTCTAAGGTGAAGTGTTTTCCCTGTGAGGTGTTGAGACACTTTCGTGTGTCACAAAGATACCTTTGTTGTGTCCAGCTGTTTCCTCACTCTCTTTGGCTAGCCTGGGGTCTGGGAGGGTCAGATGGTGTAGAAATGCAGACAGGGATGGGAGGCCATGTTGGTAAGTTTATTTTGTGTGCTTGCACACTCAATCGTGTCTGACTTTTTGGGACCCCACCAGGCTCCTCTGTCCATGGAATTTACCAGGTAAGAATACTGGAGTGGGTTGCCATTTCCTTCTCCAGCGGATCTTCCCGACCCAGGGATGGAACCAGCTTCTCTTTACCAGGAAAGTCTATGTTAGAGCCCCTCTGTGGAGCCAACTAGCAGATTCACTGAGAAGCTGTCATCAAATGGATGTGGAGACACTGGTTTAGAGACTCATTTAAGGTCCCTGCAATCCAGAGGAAGGGTAACACCTTCAGATAAACAGGAGAAATCAATCCTGCTCCCCTACCCCCAACCCTTCGCAGTCCAAGCCTCCCTGCTCAGCTCCTCTGATTACCAGCAGTCAGCTCCCCATTTGCAGCCCAAAGAGCCCTCTCACACGTAGGGCCCTAATAACACAGGTGTCTCCAGCTCTCCTGAGGTTTTCCCCTGGAGGCGGGACTCAGCGCACACCCCCCAGAGGAGCCCCCTTTCCCAACTCACTTTACCTCTCCTCCCAGAGTGCGACATGACGCTTTAGTCTGTGAGTTCCTCTAAACATTCAGGCCACTTCTACATTTCGATGTAAAATGGTCTTAGAATAGGACCATATTAGAAATGACCCTGATGAGTCACGTCCCTCACTTTCGAGGCTGACGTCAAGGGAGAGACCGCCAGCCCCTCCCACCTCCCTTGGAGCCTGAGGCAAGGACCGCACTAGGGGAGACGAGATGGCTGGTGGGGCTCACCCAGGGTGGCTCTTCTTCCCTCAGGGGAGGGGGCATCTGCTGGGGGCTGCAGGGCCAGCCACAGCCCCTCCCTCTCAGCACCGCCAGGCCTCCTGGGTCTCACTGGCTTTCTCATTCCCCACCCTCCCCCTCGCTTCCTTCATCCCCCCTCCCTCCCTCCCAGTGGTGCAGTCTGAGCTTCAATGGCAGCCGCTTCCCGAGGCTGCAGCGAGGCCTCCCAGAGTGACGGGGTCCTAGGAACAGTCCCAAGTGGCCTCTTCAGGCCCATAAATGACAGCCAAGCCACCTGGGTGGGCGACCCCGTCATAACACTCCTCTCTAGAGAACTGGACTCTCAGAACTAGTCCCCCAGTTGCTTATTTTTATGAGAACTCCTAGGTGGTACCTCATCCCTCCTATTTCCTGTTGAGAACCCCCTCGAAGGAGGAGTGTTGACAGTGCTCTATTCCTTTAAAAATATTAAATTGAAAAGTGAGTCTAGATACCATTTTTCTATCTGACTTCATAAGCCTGTTTTCGAAAAAAAAAAATACTGGTTTGCGCTATCATGTCTGATAAGTACTGAGTAGGAGAACTGGTCTCTCATCATTCCTATTTATGTCACCCTCACATAAGCCTAAACAATGTAAGCTATAATCCTCCCCATCTACTTCCCCTGATACAGATCTTTGGGGACTAATGGCCTCCAAACATTTACTTTATTACACACATTTGTTTTGTGGCAAATCTTGCCAACACACCATTTTAAAGTTTATACATGAGGTGGCAAATGTCAGAAATAAATGAAAAAAAAAAATCCCAGTACCTGGCTTGGTTCTGGTATTTACACTGAAAATGAAATTTCATATCTCCAGCTTATGAGAAAACCCTTCTTAGTTGCATATTGGTTTTAAAATATTGTCATTTAATATCTTCACAGTACGCTTTTCATTTATCATACACCTTGTCATTTGGCTTAAAAATACACTCCACTAAGTGGGTATGACACATCTTTTATCAGATGCAAAAAGCACAAAAATGTGTTCAGTTTTGTTTTTATGTAACTGGTACAGTTCCTTCTAATGTTTATTTTCAAACCGGAAGTGTATATATTTTACTGTAAACGTAACCCCTGACAGCTGCACAAACCTAAAGCTCCATCTCTTCTCCATCATCCCGTCATCCCACTCCCCAGAGATCACCCCAGTTACCAGTTGGAGTAGGGAAGGAACACCTTCCTAGAGATTGTTTTCTTTAAGTCCGTCCCTTCTGCGGCCAAAATGGGCAATTTCAGTTTCTCTGTGTGCTTTCAGGAGCCTTCAATCGGAGGAAACGAAACTCCATCTATGTCACCGTGACTTTGCTCATTGTGTCCGTGTTAATTCTCACGGTGGGCCTCGCTGCAACCACCAGGACCCAGAATGTGACTGTTGGAGGTTATTACCCGGGAGTTATTGTAAGTATCAGAGGCATAGGTAGGTCTCAGCAGCTTGCTAGCTAGAGACGTTTGGTTCTACTCTGATGGCTTTCAATTCTGTTTGAGTTTCTGTGTTTGCTCAGTTTTCCTCCTTTATATATCTCTGTTCATATAGAGAGACAACTCAGGCCTATTTAGAAGGGCACTGGACTGAGAAGAACCCTAGCTCCATGCCTAACTAGCAGTGTGATCCCGAGCAAGTCCCCTCACTCTTTGGACCTCAGTTTTCTCATCTAGGAGATGTTAGTAGTTAGCAGTGTTAACCTTAGGCTGAGGTTCTTTCTGGACGTCTGCTTTCCTATACATAACAGAGGTCACCCAACCTTACTTGAACTCTGAGGACCCTTGCAGCTTGATAGTCTTATGACCCACAGCACACTGATCTCCAAAGTCATCCTGCCGTCCTCTCAGGAAAGATATGTGGAATGTCCACTCCTAAAATATGTGTACGTATTCACTTACATAAACCTATTAAAATGGAAATTCAAAAATTAGATAAAAGTGAATGCAGTTTTAATTTTTAATATCTTCATACTAACACTAAAATGTCAAGGCATGGTACACACTTCATATGAAGTCTCATTAAAGTTAGTGGCTATAAATCCTTATTTCAAGTAACCTACTAGATAATTTTGAATATGTGGGACTTTCTTCTCAGATATGATTGTCATTGGCATCATTGTGTTTTGAATGTACTCTCACAGGGTGGCAAAGAGCTTACCCTGAGAGTTCCTGTCATTTTCTCACTGTGTTACTTTATTAGGGTCATCTTCTTTGTAGTTTGTCAACAGGAGTCTTTGCTCACCCCTTGTCCGTTTTGTTGCGACTAGTTAAGACTAGATAAGACTATCCGGGCACACATAATCTGCCCCACCACCAGCCCCCGCTGCTTTCAAACTGCTCTCCTCCCAAGGGATAGCTGCCTTGTTACCTGACGTTCACACCGAGGGAGGGCGCTAGTGACAGTCCGTGTGTTGAATAATTGTAATGCGCAATTTCCTATTCTTTCAGATAAACAAAAAATAGGAAACAAGAGTTCGAATAATTTCTTTCCCTACTTGAGTGGATTGTTTTACCCATCCCCAGGCTGCATGCAATCCATTCTGGAAAGCGGTGAACTCTGCATACAAAACCTCATTTGATACTAAATCATCACATCATATATGAAATGAAATATATACCATTGTGTCAATTATACCTCAGTTGAATTGAGGCAAAAGAAAAACAAACAAAAACCTCATTTGGATCTACACATGCTACCACTGACCCTCAAAACTTAATTGAATATCAATTGAATGACTTCCCAATTGTAACTGCTAGAGGGCGGGAAGGAAGTTAGTTAGGACGGGATTTTGTTGTTATTGTTGTTGTTGTTACATTTTAGGTTATCAGAGAGGACAGACAAATTTGTTGTTTTTTTGTCTGTCTTCTTTTTTACTCTTTTTTTTTTTTTTTGAGTGTGGGGGTTGGAGAGAGAAGCAAAGGAAAGGGAAGGGATTAAAGATGGATGCCTTTGACAAGCCAGCACTGTGAGTGACCAAGCCTGACGCCTGTTGCCTAGGTCACCGATTCCACAGTCAGCCTCCTCAATAGCCCTGGACTCCGGCACCCAGCTGCTGAAGGCCGCCCACCCCACTGGGGGAGTTCCTTCTTGGGCCCACAGGGCTCCCCTCAGCCAAGGGCAGGTGTCCCACAAACAGCGTTTGGTGCCCTCTGCTAAGCATGTGACATGAGAACTCACCCGGTCCACTTCCTGTGGTGAGGCAAGAAAACCAGTCGTCAGCAGAATTGGGTTTTATTTTTAAACACATGAAGGAGGGGGGAATGGAGGGAGGGGGGGTAAGATTGCATTTTGGTGTCTTGGGAAAGCAATTTATAGGGTCTGTGTGACTTTGTGGGCTTCAGGTAACTGCATTTAGTAAGAGATTTCTGACTGCTGAGCACATGCTCAAGCCAAGATTCAGACTCCCCCTGGGTGAGGGGAAGGTATTTTCCATGTCATTTAAGAGTAGCAGCTGCTATTCATGAACGGTGGCTCTGAACCTTCTCTGTAGAATATCTGCCTGTGGGTGGCTGGGTTGGAATACATTAACAAAGGAAGGAGGGCTTGTGATTGTTGTTATTGGAGTACCTGATGTTCGGCTAGCACTGGAAGTTGAAGCAGTGGGAGAGTATCTGTGTGTGTGTGTCTCAGTGAGAGCTGATATGGAAATGTTAATCAGAGAGCTGGCCTTATGGTTTAACCTTAAAATTTTTGCTTTTATAGTTCCTGTAGATTGTTTCTTTAAAATAGGTTTTAATTATAGAAAGTGAAGGGGGGAAGATTGCAGGTTGAACAGCCGAAAAATCCATTTGAGGTGATAGGTCAGATCATGTTATAACAGATACAATAATGACTCATACCTCTGAAAAAAATAAATGCCTGAGAATCTAGATTTATTTGGGACCTGGGTGCTTTCACTAATTGAATAATTTGGTTATTAGAGAGTTATGTATAGACTCTAATCCAGTGGTTTCCCTACCTTGGCATGTATTTTAATAAACACCCGGGGGAAGTCTTAATTCAGGTGGATCTGCAGCCACTTGAAGAACTAAAACACAATAAATAAACTATGCTTAGCAATAAAACCAGAATGAGCCAAATATGGCATCTTTAGATTCCACACTATCAAGTTGGCCAGTCTGAATATAAATAACTATTATATAGATTTTGGGAAAAAAGTGTCAGGTTATTCGGAACTCTGCTATTTTAGGACTCTGGTTAAATGCGTATGTGAGAATGTAAAATTTTAAAACAGACCAATTAGGGAGCAGTTATTAGATTAAATGATGACTTACCATACACTTCATTTAAAAATATTGAGATCTCAGGCATTGAAAAATCTAATTGTATTTATTAAACTCTAAGTCACATGACACTTTTCTGTGGCATCTTTATTTTACCAAATGAGATGCCCTTCGACAATGAGGTGCATTCTGATATGGTGTTAACTACTGTACCTGAACCAGAATGTGGTGTCATCTTAAGACAAGTGTGCAACAGACATCTTTAAATATGTGCTCATCTCTACAGGCTGAACTGTATCATCTTAAAAAAATTAAAACCAACCCAGAAAGACAAACTGGCTTAGGATTTTTACTGTCCTCAAATATTCAAGACATAGTCTATTCTAGAAGAGTTCCAGTGAACTTTCTGCCCAGGAGGACTAAAAAAAAAGATAATAATGAAATAAAACAAGAGCCTCAGTTGTATGAAGCTGGAAAAGACAAGGGAGAAAGCCCACTCCTCTATAGCTCTAACCTTAGATCCGGGAGAAGGAGGCCTCCAAATGTGTTTCCCATGCAACCCACAAGATGGAGTTGGCCACTTGATCAGTGCTAGAAGTCTTACATGCCAACATCTTCTCCCCTACCTGTTTTACTGCTAGGGCCCACATCCACCTGGGTTTTCTTTCAGGAAAGAAACCAGGAGTTTCTGTCCTCTTTCCCAGGCAGGGGAAGGGGAGGCTCAGCTAACTGAAAATTATATCAGAGTTGCCATGGGGGAGTAGGAGGCAGAGACATGTGGCTTCAGCTTCACATGTGAATACTCTTGAAATCCAACCAAATTTTGACTAACTGGAATGCTCAGGAAACATAAGGAGCTCTAAACAGTGGGATTTTGTGGTTTTGCAGTCACAAAATAGTTTTGTAGTCACCGTAATAAACAGTGGTTTATTGTGAATGAGGCAGAAATTTTTTCTACCTCTTGTTTGAAACTGTTTCTAAAATATAAGATCATGCTAAGATAAAGTTCCTTGCTTACTAAGTAAGTTTCAAAGATGAGTCTTGAGTCTTGATTTGCTTGATAAGACTAACCCTCCACTAGCTTCCTGTTGCCTCCTTAGCATTGTCATTCAAAGCTCTCTGAAGATGCCCTCAGCCTGGTCTCCCACACCTTTCTTTTGCCAAAATTGTCCATTCACAGTCCCCTGAACATTACCTGGGCTGGGACGTCCTCCCAGTGCTCTCTCTCTCTCTCTCTGTTTATCCAAATGTTCTTTTCTATCCCATCTTAAAGACAGCTGGGACATTTCTCAGCTACTGGGATCCACAGTTGTGTCTACCATCTTTGAACTCCCTACCTTGGATTCTTTCTACTCATAATTGTCGGAAAATAGTCACATTCTGTTCTGTGGGATGTTTGGCTATATTCTCATTTAGCTTTGTTTATACACATCAAAAATCCATTATCTAAACCCTTGGGCCAGCTGTGTTTGCAAATTTAGTTTTTTAAAAATATTTTAGAAAGATAATACAGTGCATCTATCATATATTGGGTTGGCTGAAAAGTTCATTTGGGTTTTCCATAAGCTTCAGAAAAACCTGAATGAACTTTTTGGCCAACCCAATATTATCTAACATCCCATTGGAGTCTTGAAATATACCCAGTAATCAAGCATCTTCATCTTTCTACAGTAAACTGTGAATTTTTACACTAAGTAGATAAACATTATAAAATAACCTCACAGCAGTTTGAGGCCAGGTTTTGCCACCAAGTTAGTTACAAAAAAGCCTTTTGGTTTTAAGAGCTTTGTTGATTTCAGGATTACAGAGTAGGATTGTAGACCCATTACCTAATTATAGTTCCTTGAGGCTATCTCTTTGGTCTTGGTATGGTATCCCACCTCATTTCCTGGCCTCCAAATCACAGGTCTAGCACTGAGCCTGCCAGAGTAGCTGTCCAGTGAAAACTTATCAAGTGATTAATCCTTTTAAGCTTCATCCCCAGGGAATAGGCATGGGTGCAGTCTAAAAAGAGCCCTGGAATCTGATTTCTAATGATTTGTCTTTTTTCCCCTACAATTGGAGAGCAGCCAAAACAAAGAAAGCTGGTTATTTGTTCAGGTAATGGGGAGTCAGGATGGAGGTCCAAAGGTCTGAACATTCCGAGATTCAGTGCAGTTCTCTATGGAGGACCAGAGAGCTTACCTCTCTGAGGCCTCTGGGGAGCAAACAGTTGATTAGAGGCCACTGCCTATTTGCAGGAAATTCTGTTGAATTTTTTCCTCCTTTGCTTTCACCACCTCAGCTCTTCCTCAAATAGGATCTCTCACTCCCTCCTTGCAGGGAGCCTCTTCCCTGAGGAGAGTGGGCAGTGTGGTAAAGGTTACTTCTCTGCTCACAGTGGCCACAAATGTAGCAAAGTGTGGCTGGAAGACTACCAGCTGTTAGTCAGGGGATCTGAGGGCTGCTCCTGGTTCTGCCTGAACTTGCTGTGAGAGGGGACAAGCCCAGACAATTCTCTTAGGCCTCCATTTTGCTGTCTGGCAAATGGGACTCATAGGAGCTCCACCAAACTCCATAACATGACCCTGATCAACATGGAGGGCAAGTGCTTCTTTAAATTCAAATGCTTTTCATATGTAAAGTCGGTTTAGCGGCTCTGGTTAGTGCCATCATCCAGATGAGTGAATTCTTCCAGCCAGAACTCAGGTGATCTTAGTGTCCCACCTGCTGAACTCTGCCTGTCTTTGACCCCATTTCTCTCCTTCTCTGTGAGATCTGGAAACGACCGTGTATTTAACAGCCTCCCTTGTGCAGGTCACGCTACATACATGCCTTGTCTCATGTCATCCCCACAGCAGCGCTGTGTGGTCGAGATCACTGTGATTCCCACTTAATAGAGGAGGAAACTGAAGCACAGAGTGCTTAAAGAACTAGCCCAAGACCACACAGTTTCTAAGAGTAGTAAAGTCAAGGATATAATACAAAATGAATTATTCTCAGCTTCTTGAGCACCTTGTTTCTACCTCACCTGTGGTCGTTTGGCCACAGACTCTCCCAGGGCAGGGGCCATGTCCCCTTATTTATGTGACAAAAGTACTCAGTGAGGGTTAGAAAATGGAATGAGTTGGAGTGGAATAGAAATGGAATGGAAGGAAAGGGGAGGGAACTGGGTAAAGTAACTGGCTGCCCTGGGATTTCCAGACAATTCCATGAGGCTTCAGGCCGCCTCTTCTGGTCACTGCCATCAGAGACTTATTTGAGAGTGTCAGCAGAAGCAAGTGTCTTTGTTTTGCTTCCTGTCTTAAGGCAAAGGTTGCTGTTGGGGATCAGGAGGCATTCAGTGAATATCTGTGGAGACTGATGAACCACTCAGTAAAAGGACTTATTTTCCTTGTAAGAAGCTACCTCTGACTTTCTTTCAAGCTCCACAAATGGCCCAGAGTGTCATAAGCACAGACTATTCATGGAATTCTTCCTGAAAAAATAGAAACTGTGAACTTATTGGAAGGGCAGATAAAATAGAATATGAAACTCTTCTGAAATAGAGCAAAGAATGATAGGATTTCCCAGCTCGAATCAGGTTAGAGCTGCTCAAAAGTTTAATGTCTTTTTAAAAAGTGATAGTAATCGCAAGAGCAATGACTCCTATTTACTGAGTACTTGCTGTGTGCTAGGCCATGTACAAGGTTCTTTGACTGTAGCATCCTGGCTAATCCTTACAAAAATCCTGCAAGATGGCCACTTTGATGGTCCCCATTTTCCAGCTAAGGAAACTGAGCTTTAGGGAGGTCATTCAGTTTGTTCAAGGTTGCAGACACAAGTGAAAGAGCTGGTTTTAGAAGCCAGGCTAGTCTAATGACCAGCTTTTAATCACTATACTTAAAATTTTTTATTTATTTGTTATTTGGCTGTGTCTGATCTTAGTTGTGGCATATGGGATATTTTGTTGTGTTATACAGGCTCTCTAGTCGTGGTGCCCAGGCTTACACAGTATGTGGGATCTTAGTTCCCTGACCAGGGATCAAACCTGTTTTCCCTGCACTGCAAGATGGATTCTCAACCACTGGACCACCAGGGATGTCCCTAATCACTATACTTTTATCACAATGCATTTTAATTACATTTCAAACAAGACCAAGTGGGAGACAGGCATAGAGTAACTGTTGGAAGGATGTTCTCTGTAGGGTCTTGGATGGCACGGAATACACTCTTATGCTCTTCAGCTTGTATTTCCCAAGAGGGGCTGCTGGCTGAGTGGCCCTACAGAGTGAGCCTTGGAAATTTGTATTCATTCTTTCCCTTCAATCTCTTTCTTCCTTGGGTCTCTGAGGCAAGCGCCCAGTCCCCCTACACTGTCCCACCAGGCTCTTGCCCAGCCTTTGGGTCCTTTAGATTTCCAAGCCTGGTGTAAGGCTTGGGGGGCCTCAGGCTGAGAGAGATACCCCTGTGAGCCAAGGTAAGGCTGCAGATGGAAAGCCTGATCATTAGTGAGGCTCAAGAGAAATGTAACTACACCACTGAACTTGCGTTAAGATTTATTGGTCCATTCCCACCACATTTTACTTCTTTCACTTTCATTCCTGATAACGGCCATCAGTTAGTGATTGTTCCCAGCTGAGACTGGCAGACTCAGTCCACTAATGGCAGAACTGAGAGCAAAGTGGGATTTGCTACTCCGAGCCATCATCCCAGATGCTAAGACAGGGAGATTGTTTCTCAGCGTTTTACACTGCCATTTCTGCTCACCCTTTAATGAATGCTTTCTGTCCATAAATGAAGCAGAGATGGAAGAAGAGGTGAATAAGTGCTCACATAAATTGCAGTGGGTCAACCACAAATACAGGCTTTCAAAAAAAATTATTGTTTTTTTTTTTTAAAGTCTAGGTTAAGGTGCTTGCTGATTTCTAAAGTACTTCCTGGGTTTGATTAGTGTGGCAGATGCATCAAAAATTGCTATTTCCAACCTTTATTTTGTGATTCGTGCATCAGGGTAGAAGGTCTCTTTTCAAAGAAAAGATAAAGATCAGAGTATAATGCGTGCTTTTCACCATTATCCGACTCTTACTGACTCACTGGTCACGTGCTAGGTAATGGATATGGAAATTGAAATCAGCAGGCTCTGAAAAGCTATGGTTGACTTTTACTTTTAGCTTCTGGGCACTTAAGTTTCTTTTTAGGTGTGATTCATATCTACAGGGGCAAATTGGTAAATGGTGGGAAAAATGCTCATACTGTATTTGTGTGCATAACAACTGCACGGGTTTAGCAGGTTATTTTCTGGGATCCTGAATCCTGTCCTGGGGCTGGGATGATTGCGTAGTCAGGCTGACCATCTATGCCCTGTTGCTTTACAGCTTGGCTTTGGATCGTTCCTTGGAATCATCGGATCAAACCTCGTGGAGAACAAACGGCAGATGGTAAGTTTTCATGGCTACACAATCAGACCACCTGTTCATCTGAAAGAGCTCAACATTTCTGTGGATGGGTAGCACACTTACTAAGGTTGCTCACATTGGACCATGAAAGAAACAGCTACCTTCCCCTAAGCTTCCGGGAAACTTGTTTTAAAGTGACCCTGTGGTATGGGACTGGTTCTCACCTTGCCTGATGCTCCCTCAGTTGCCCAGCTCATCTCCTTAAGTCACAAGGATAGAATAATCTGTATCTTCCCCTTTGCTTTTCTCCTCATCAGCAAATGAGTGCACCAGCCTAGCCAGTCAGGCCACTGTCCTCGCTTGGGATGCCTTTGCTACTCTGATTCCCGCACTCAGGGGCCACCCTTACCCCTTGCTCTCTGATGTATAGCCTGAGATTTCCATCTAAGGGACTTTAATTAACAGAACAAATACATGTAGGGCACAAGAAAACAAAATCAAATTACAAAGCTGGTCTCCAATAGTCCCATGACCCTTGGTTCAAAGCTACCTGTGTGATGAGGTGGAGAGGAAGGATGGGCATATACTGGGAGGTAAAACTCACCAAGTTCTCTGTCTGAATGGGGCCCCTCAAGGGCAAGCTGTTGTGTCTTCTTGCTTCAGCTTGAGAAGACTTCATAGAGGGCAAGAGAAGAAGGTACAGACTGAATTGCAAGCTTATTGCAGTTTTATAGGCTTGTAAATCAAGAGGCCTGGTGAGTGGTCAGATGGTGGACTGATTAGGCTCCCCAGTACAAGTCTCCGTGGCATCTAGACTTTGATAATGGAGTCTATTTAACAGCAAGTTTAATCAGATAACATAATAGCTCCGAGGACAGAGAACTCTAACCATATGTTCTCCCCAAGCAATGTGGGGAATCGGCCTCGGGGGAGTTCTAATAGTCTTCTTCCATTTCACCTGGGCTCTCCTGCAGCCAGTTGTGTTTGCACTTTGGGTTTAAATTATTCAAAATAACAGGGGAGTTCTAATTGTAGAGCTGATCATAGCATAGCTAGTAATGCCAATTTCATGACATCGTTCATCCATTATTTACCAATCCTCTGTACTGCTGTGAAGTGAGATTTATGGGACAAGGTTTCTGAACAACTCCCAAAGGAGATCTGTATTTCCTCGTAGCCTGTTGAGATGGGAGAACCTTAGGGTGGTCTTGACTTTTCTTTCCCCTCTAATCCCTGGAGAGCAGCCTAATGTCATCCTGTTTCTCCCCTTTCCCCCCAAAAAGCACCTCAAGGAGTGTTGTTTTGAGGGTCAACAAGGGCAGATGGGGGCTTCCCACATGGCTCAGATGGTAAAGAATCTGCCTGCAATGCAGGAGATCTGGGTTCAATCCCTGGGTCAGGAAGATCCTCTGGAGGAGGGCATGGCTACCCAATCAGTATTCTTGCCTGGAGAATCCCATGGAGAGAGGAGCCTGGCGGGTTCCAGTTCTTGGGGTCACAAAGACTGGGACACGGCTGAGCAACTAACACTTTCACAAGGGTAGATGGTGGGCTCAGGCAGTACCTACTCCCAACCCTGGAAACACCTGGAAATGCCTACCTCCTCATTGGATTGTAGTATTACCCTTGTAATGGGAAACCCATTATTAGGAAAACTTCTGTTACCTAACACGGTCAGAGAATAGGGCAGTCTAGTTCCAGCAAACAATTTTTGTACTTGAATTTTTTCATATAGACCGCACAGAATCGATCAATTTCAGAGACTTCAACCCTTGTAAAATGTCTTTGACATGTAAGCCATAAGTTGTGTGGTCTCCTTCCTCTGTGATGCAGGGCCATGTCGGGTTGTGTGGGGTTTCAGAGTCATCCCTTCTTCACCCCACCCCCACACCATGAGGGGTTGGGAAGATCATTGCACTAGGAGTTGGCGGGCACAGGCTCTCCCATAGCCTGGCCAGCGACCTGGGACACACCATTTCCCCTCTCTGAGCCTCCAACTCCACAGTAAATAAAATAGGAGTTGGACTACATGATGTCGAAGGTCCAACACTTTTCTGAGTCTGAGAGTGGAAGAGGCATGCAGCCTCATTCCTCAGCCTCCTCTTCCTTGGGTCCTCACTGACTCACGGAGTGAGTTTCTTAGCTTGCCCTGAAAATGTAGGACATGCTCCAGTGACCCCTTCTCTGCGTCTCCCTCCCACTCAGGGCCTCTCCATGGGGTGGCAGGCCAGCGTTCGGCTTTGCCTGGCGGTCTCTTGGGGATCGCCTCGTCCCCAGAAGCAGTAGGAGTGGAAGGCTAACAGACACTTTTGCTTTGTCCCCCCACAGCTGGTGGCTTCTATCGTCTTTATCAGCTTTGGTGTGATTGCGGCCTTTTGCTGTGCCATAGTTGATGGGGTCTTTGCTGCCAGACATATTGTGAGTATTTTTAGTCCGGGGTTAAAGTCAGTGTGCAATACAAGGAGGCTTCATCGAGCGGGTGTGCTCTGGGTGTGTGCTGAGGGCTGTGAGGGGTACGGAAGAAGTAGAAGACAGGATCCCTGCCCCATGGAGGTGACATCAACATGAGGACCTCCTGGAATGCACTACAGAACTGGGGCTGAGCTGGGGGGGTGAACTCTAGGTGCCAGAGTGGTTTACCTTGGGTCAGGCTAGGCTTCCCAGTGGGGAAGGGGCTGGAGGTTGTTGAGATTTGGAAAAGTCAAAGACAAGGGCACTGGGGCCAGGGAATTGGCATTGGGAGTGAGGAGGCAGGCAGAGAGCCCTGGTAGCTGAGCTCCCCTTGCCATCTCCAGCAGCAACAAGAATGGCCCATGAGGATAGATACGTTGTTTTCTACATGTGGAATCTAGTTCCCTGACCTGGGCTGGAATCTGTGTACCCCTGCATTGGGAACACAGAGTCTTAATCCCTAGACCTCCAGGGAAGTCCCCCAGACACCATTTCTAGGATTGTTGAACTTTGCTGTCTTCATAATTGGAGAGGAGTGATGTGATTGGGGTCTGGAGAAAGCCCCCAGAACTAAAAGTCTCCAGAACAATCCCAGTCCTGGTGTTCAGACGCCAAGTGCTTCCAATTCTGGAGAAGCTAGGCCTCGAGGAAGGCCTGAAACCCAAATCTGTGCTTCTTTTCAGAGAAACCTGGGATTCGGGTCCTTCCTGTGGGCCCCTCTAGAGGAACCCTCACCCCTCACTTTGTGCTTTCTTAATCTGGCCTAGGGCCATCTTCTCCATTGGGCTCAATAGACACAGTGCCCACAACCATGAACTTTTATAGGGTCCCAGAAAAATATAATTTATTTTCAAATTAGAGGAAAAATGATGACCTTTTAGGCCAAAAAAAAAAAGTTTTCACATGTAATAGAAATTTGTCTTTATACCAACACAGTCATAACATATAATTAAAATAAATGAAACATCCTATTCAATATTTTGAGTGGAGGAAGGAGTCCGAAAAAGGCAAAAGTCCCAGGGAGGTCATAGCGTGGCCCTGATCTGGCCCACAAACCCCAAGCAAGAGTGAGCTAAGCTGCTTACTGAGCCCCCAGAACCCACTCAGACACTTATTTTTATCCCCAACTGAACCAACAACGAAAATGAAAACATAAAGAAATTAAAAATCCATAAATAAAAAAGAAAATGAAAACATCCTATGAACTAGTTGGAATTGTATATTTTCTAAACCAAGTGAATTAGAGCAAAATTGAATCATAGAATATTCTGTGGATCAATGATATTTTATTCCATTTCAGTCTTTGGCTAACAGTGCTGGTTAGCCTGAGGGAGAGTCCTGGGTATGGACTATCTGGGCAAGGCTGATTTGCAACACTGTTTCAATCCCAACTTGTTCTTGGACTCTACTCCCATACTTAAGAGTCAGTCCCTCACATGCCAAGCTTAGTGGAATTCACATAGTCAGTGTTGGCCTATAAGGAGATCATTTCTGGGAAGGGGGAAAAGTATGTAGTGGGAGAGAGAGGTTTTTTGCCCAGTTCTCTTTTTGGACCAAGAATACATCGGTTCCTATATCAGATCCATCCCTTATTATTTTAGCTGAGAGCAGCCATCTTTTTCTTTTTGAATAGGCAACGACACAACAGGAACTTGTGACATCCACTCTCCTATCACCCTAAACACCTTAAAATTAGCGATTCTACCGCATAGGCGATTTTCACATATTACCCTCCGAGTATATATACCTATTTTTGTAGCATGTTTGCGGTCAGTCATAGTATTGTGTGCTATTTTGTTTCAATAGGTGCCATCTTAATGACAATAATTCTGTGTTTTTGTGTGGTGGATTTAGCATTTCAATGTCCCTTGACATCTATTATCTCATTTGAGAGCCACAACCATCCTGTGAGATATGTAGGGCAGACATTATTATCCCCATTTGACAGCACTCTTCACTCCGAGGCAGTCTCCATGGCAACACAGGCCTAGTGGCCAAGAAGCCTGCGGTAGATTTTCATGGCATCATGAGCTGAAATGGCTTCCTCGTTTTCCCTCCTCTTCTCACTTCTAATTTTTTTTAAACAGCTTTATTGGGACATAGTTCACATCTCATTTAATTTACCCATCTGAAGCATATAATTCAGTGGCTTTTAGTACATTCATGGATATGTGCAAACTATCACCGAATCAATTTTAGAAGGTTTTCATCATCCCCCAAACAACCCTATACCCTTTAGTTATCACCTCTCTAATCTGCCTGCTCCCCCAAATCCTAGGCAACCACTAATCTACTCTCTTTTTCTATAGATTTCCCTTTATTAGTTAACATTTCATATTAATGGCATTATATAATATGTGGTTTTCTGTGACATCTTTTACTTAGTATAGTGTTTTCTACATTCATCCATATTGTACCATATATCAGTGCTTCCTTTCTTTTTATGGCCTAATAATATTCCATTGTATGGATATACCACATTTTGCTTGTTCATTCACCAGTTGACAGACATACAGGTTGTTTCTACATTTTGGCTTTTATGAATAATGCTGTTATAAACATTTGTGTACCAGTTTCTATGTGGACCTATGTTTTCATTTTCTTTGTGTATATACCTATGATTTGAAGTTTTGGGTCATATGGTAACTATATTTAACCTTTTGAAGAACTGCCAATTTTCCAAAGTGGCTGCATCATTTTATAGTTGCACTGGAAGTGTCCGAGTGTGCCAATCTCCTATTGTTAGCTGACTTTTTAATTCTAACCATCCTAGCAGGTATGAAATGGTTTCTCATTGTGGTTTTGATTTGCATTTCCCTGACTTCTAAACTCCAAAAGGTTTTGATTGGTGGCCTTAGCCAAAAGGCAATGGGAGAAAAATCCAAGTTATATTTACTGGAAGTTTCTTCCAGCCTCTGACTCTAGGTCATTTGTACCTCCTGCTGGTAGTGGCCTGCAGTAGAGCATTTGATTAAAGGTTTGGGGTAAAGCTAGATGAGTCTTTGAGAAAACCTTTTTGCCTATACTGTACCTGTCCTGAGACATCTACCAGTCCTCACTGACAGCCAGTTCTGTTTTTTTTTTAACTTCCATATGTGACATAACCCTGTGAAATTTTGAGGAAGGAGGATTTATTAATCAATGGTGATATCTGATGGCCAGCTTAAATGAAAGGCACATTTGGACCCCAGTACTGTTTGGGTGGGTTAGAACCAGCCTTTCCTGTTGTGGAGCCCCTTTAACCTGATTGTGCCCCGTCCTTTTGTTTATTTTTTGGCTGCATCCCATGGCATGTGGGAATCCAGTTCTCTGACCAGGGATTGAACATGTGGCCCCTGCAAGTCTTAACTACTGGGCCACCAGGGAAGTCCCACAGTGCCCTGTCCTTTGGCTCAGGGGCATATGAGCTTCACCTACCTTCTGACACAGCCCTCTGAATGTGTCTCATTCCTTCTCTCCCTTGTCTCCAATTTCCTTCCGTTCCCCTACCTGAAGATAGCCATTAACTAGCCGGGAAAGTCACATCACCTTCTTGTGCCAGTTTCTTCTCTTCTACCTGGATGTAATAGGAACTTAGTTACCTCTCAGGGGTAACATGAGGACAGTACAAAATCATGGGCGTGAAGGCCTGAGAGGGCCTGGCCCTGAGCACTCAGACTCTCAGTGGAAGGCAGCTGGTGGCCAGCGCTCCGACCGGCTATTGCTCGCCCTTCAGACGTAAATAAAAGGCTGTCGGCGGGCTCAGCGGCCTTTTCTTACCTGCTAGTCACATGGGCTTGTTCCTCCCCTGGGGCCTCAGTGCAGAAGGGCAGCCACAGGCAGAACATGGGCCACCATCACACATACACACACAACACACACACACACACACACACGTCGATCTTCGTTTAAGCAGTTGGCAGCTGAATGCTCTTCGTAGAACCAGGAGGTCAGGAGGTTATGACCAGCACATCGAGCCTCCCCCGCCGCCACAACCGCGGAATGATAACTACTTCTACCATTGCCCAAATGGGGACAATAAACCCTGCCAGTCGTGACCATGAGAACCCTCATGCCTTTCCAGCGTGACCCCAGGCTGAGCCCCAGGGCAGGACACTTTGAGAACACAGAGCAGCTAGGTAGAAGCAACTGGACGGGGCAGCAGGCAGGAAGGCAGGGGGCACATGGGTGTCAGGTACAGGAGATGCTCAATCACACGTGTGGGGGAAAGCAGCCATCAGGATGATTGGCAGTGGTGAGAGAAGTGGGTTCAGTGGGGATGGGGCAATAGATAAACTCCCTCTGCCAGGGTGCTTTGGCCCACCTCCAAAGGTCAGTTTGTATAAACTGCTGATCCTGTGCTAACCTGCTCTTGGCTGAAGGCCCCTCCCACTCAGGGGATGTTTAATGTCCTGTGAAAGTTGGGCAGCATCCCCTGCCTGCCACCTTCTGGGCCACACTGGGTGGCATCTGTCTGTTCCACCCCAATGCACACCACCCTCCTCCCCCCACCCCCGTGCCTGAGAGCTCCCTCACAGGAAGCTGGTCAAACCAGCAGGGCTAGTCAACTTTTCCTGGGCTTTAGCAGTATTTTGGAGTTCACTGTCTTTTTCTCAGCTGTGTAGTTGAGTGAAAATGGCTCATAGTTCAGTTGAGTTAAAACCTAGTGTGGGCTCCGTGGCTGCGTATCTCCCTGGGATTTGCTTCCTGAGCTCTTCTTTCTGAAAAAGCTATGGCAATGACAACAGGGAGGATGCGTCAGCCTGCCCTGGTCCTGTCCTCAGGTGATAATGAGACCTCATTGTTGGAGCTGGCCTCCCTCCATCGCCGAGTGTCATGTCGAGATCACCTGGAGTTTTGACTCCTGTTCCCTGGGGATTCTTTGCAAAGAGACAGACTAGAAATAAAAGAAAACCAGAACGGAAATTTTAAGAAACGCATTTCTCAATCAATTTCCTAATTTCTCATTAACTAAGTGGCCCAATAGAAAGTAGTTATTAGAACATTTTTATCTGATCCTCACAGAAATTAACCCAACACTACCTACTCTGGGATGTGTGTGTGTTAAAATCTTTTCTTACCCATCAGAGCACTTGCTGCTTTGTTTTCCAAAGCCCAAAGCTTTTTGGTTTGCTGTTTCCCTTTCCAGGATCTGAAGCCCCTCTATGCTAACCGGTGCCACTATGTCCCGAAGACATCTCAGAAGGAAGCTGAGGAGGTAAGAGCCAGAATGGGGTTACCTTACCTTTGGGAAAAGCCTCCTGTTCTGCCTAGAACCCTTTTTCTTTGACTCTCTTCCCGAGGCCTGCAGCTTGCTGTGAGGTGTCTTTAGTTGGTTTGTTCAGTGGTTCAGTTCAAGGCAAGGTGCTAATGGGGCCACAGTCATAGGTTAGCGCTCCCGAGGCCTAATCAGATTTGCTTTGTTCTGTGGTCACAGGCTGCCCCTCTGACCCCAGCAGGCAGCCTCTCTGTGTGGGGCTTTGATCCTGAGAGGGACAGAGGAGAGTACAGAGGCCACAGGGCAGATCCTTCCCCACGTCTGCATCTGCGGAGGATGGGTCAGCTGCCTGGACTTGATGTCTAGCTGGCAGTAAAGTGGGAGGCCCACCAAGTCAGCAGGCTGGACCCAGGAGACAGAGCCTGAGTCTCATATGCAGGAGGGGTCAGGAGCCAAATGAATGTTATTGAGAAGCCTGCTTCAGTTTGAGGCTCTGGGGCAGCTGTCAGCCTGGCCCTGACTCCCCTGGTCTCATGACATCCCCAGGAGGCTGGTCTGATGATGCTTGAGTGGACACGTGAGGTGGTGTCTCTCCCACCCCACACAGCTCTCCTCGGGTCCCTGTCACCTCATGGAGAAGCTGAGGCAGTGGGCTGTGAGGTGAGGTGAGACTTCAGGTCATTCTCCGAGAGCTTTCATTTCAGCTCACAACCACCCCTCCCCAACCCAGAGAGCCCTTTAACATGAACTTCTACTGTATGCTTCTAGCAACATCGACCATTTGGTTCTCTGCTACTGCTGCTAAGTCACTTTAGTCATATCCGACTCTGTGCGACCCCATAGATGGCAGCCCACCAGGCTCCCCCATCCCTGGGATTCTCCAGGCAAGAACGCTGGAGTGGGTTGCCATTTCCTTCTCCAATGCATGAAAGTGAAAAGTGAAAGTGAAGTCGCTCAGTCGTGTCCGACTCTTGGCGACCTCATGGACTGCAGCCTACCAGGCTCCTCCGTCCATGGGATTTTCCAGGCAAGAGTACTGGAGTGGGGTGCCATTGCCTTCTCCATTTGGTTCTCTCAAATTGAGAGTCAACCCCCACTCTGAGAATAGTTAGAAAAATGGTAAACTTGTGATTGTTGGAAAAGGGTGAGAAGTGGATGTAAAATGGTGACTGCATTCCATAAAATGGAACGGCATCAGGCGAAGCCATTCTCCCTAAAATCCAGTGTGAATGGTGCCTGGGGAGGCCGGCAAAGCTATGGCCCTGCTCCCAAGGCGTTAGGGCAAGTACTCACATGGTGACTTTGCCACCCACTTTCCCCACTTTCCTTCCCCGATCAGCAGTTCACTATTTTTCCTGACTATTCTCGGGTTAGAAAGAAGTAGAAAGATGTATGTGCTGACAGTGTATCAGAAAGGCTTGAGCTTTTGGATGACGGACCCAATATAGAAAAAGTGCCTGTTTACCACCCATATTCTCTGTAACACAGCAAAACACATTTACAAGCACTTCGTTGCACCTGTATTGGGGTGGGGGAAGCCTGGAAGATTTCTCACAAACAAGAGACGGTAAATGGAAGTTAATTTTTCCTTTTTTTGTGTGGGCAAACTCAAGATGTATAAAATGTCATTGTTATTCTCTTGATTTCATCATGATCGCATTCTTGTGTTACCTTGGTGACTGTAAAAATATGAATGATGACTTCCATAGGTTCACTTGTAACCCTGGTCCCCCTAACCCTATTTTTCCTGTATAAGGTCATAAGTTCCTCAACCAAAAATTCTCCTTCCGCGAGGGTTATGAGGAACCTTACGCAGGCAGCTCGAGAGGTACCAGTGTACTTCAGAGTGCATGTGACTGCCCTTCTGTCTTCCTTCCCCAATGTGGTCCTCTTTCCTCCTGTACCCCGATTCCCCGTCGTAGCCTCATTTCCTACCGTCCATTTGTTCTTCTGTCCGCCCTTCCATCCGTCCTTCCTCCTCTCCATCTCCACCCTCCAAGGATGGGGCGCTGAGGGCTGTGGCTGAGGCTGGATGTGAGCCCAGCTCCACAGTGACTTGCCTCATGCACGAGATCAGCCAGCCTAGCCCCATCCCGGCTGTGCTTTGGTGTATTCATTTCACAGCCATCCTTACCGTCTCCATCAGTTCACTAGCTCGCACTGCCAATCCCAGAGGGTCCTGCTCCCATCCAGCGCCAGCTCACCTGCTCACTGCTGTGTGTCCGCAGGTGAACTGCCCTCACCTCAGCCGTGGATTCTGCACACCTCGCATCCGGGGCAACACCTGCTTCTGCTGTGACCTCTACAACTGCGGCAAGTGAGTGCCACGCCCCTGAATGTGTGACCACCATGGGTATGAGAAGGACTAGATGGGGGAAGGGTGCACGGTAGGGATCAGAGAAGCAGAAGACATTGGTGTGTCCATGGATTTCAGCTGACAGGCGTTACCTGCCGTCTCTGTGCCAGGCAGCATGCTAAGTAAGTGCTTTCAAAGTGCTGATCTCATTTCATTCTTACCCATGATTTATGTACAGTTATTCTTCGCATTTTACAGATGATAAGACTGAGGCTCAGAGGAAACAGACAACTAGTCCAAGGTCACACAGAATTTGAGGTAGAGGGTAGAAGGAGGGTTCACACCCAGTTCTAAATCCAAGTTCAACAACATTCAACAAAGAGTTATTGAGCATTTTCTTTGTGCCTGGCCTTGTTCCAGATGTTGGAGATTCAGCAGCAGCAGCAGCAAAAAAAAAAAAAAAAAAAAAAAAAAAAAAATTCCTTGCCCTGATGGAACTTAGAGTTTATTAGGGAAGATAGTCAATGAACACATGAATATGTAACATGCCAGGTGTCAATCAGAGCCCTGAAAAAAAAATGAAGCAGGAAAGGTAGGTAGATAGTTTCAAAGTGGAGAGTGTGAGTGCCATGTTGGATAAAAGGGGCCAGGGAAGAGCTCTTTGAGGAGGTGAAATTTGTGAAGAGATCTGAATGATGCCAGAGGGCCAACCAAGTAGATACTTGAGGAAAAGAGTATCCCAAACAAACAGAACAGCAAGTGCAAAGGCCCTGAGGCAGGATCAGGCTTGGTGGTGCTAGTTCTGCTACAGCCACTCTGGCGCTCTGCCGTTCAATGTTAAAACATCATTTATTCTCTTTCAAAACACATTTAGATGCCAGAAATACAGAGTCCTGCTGAGGAGCTTGTAGGCCAGCAGGGATGACAGACTTGTGAGCCATTGATTACAGTCTAGTGAGAAGCATAGTGGGGATCTGGGGAGGTACTGGGGAACCTCTCAACGCAAATGACTGGAAGCCAGAGTTGCTGGTGGGTGCGGGGAGGAGGCGTGTCAAGGAGTAGGGGATGTGGGAGCTGAGGCTTCAAGGATAAGGCGGGAGTTAGGAGCAAACTTAAATTAGGGGTGGAGATGGGGAGGGTCTTCCCAGCATTTGTGGGGGTGGGGATGGTTTTACAAGGTAGTAGGAGGTGAGGAGTAGAACTCTAGTCACACAGCAGAGCATAGGAATGCTTTTGGACTTGACCCTGTAAACCACTGGGAGCCACTGAAGGATACAGCATGGTAGATGGATTTGAGTGGCTAGAGACCAGAGGCAGCGAGGGAGCCACTGCCAGAGACCAGCCCAAAGGGAATGGAGCCTAGATGAAGTTGTGGGGGTGGTGGGAAGCAGGGAGTACTTGTAAGAGGAATTTAGAAGGTGGAGTAGACAGGAGTGTGTGAATGCGTGATGCAGAACATAAGTAAATGGCCCTGCATGTCATGCACGTGTTTTCTTCCAGCTCTCAGTTCAAGGGGGCTGAGGAGGGGAAGGGAGGAAGGGAGGAGTTGGCAGAAGGGGCCTGGATGGAGCTAGATCCAGAGGGGTCAGATGGATGCACTCCTCCTCACTCACACTCCTTACTCTTGGTATTGGGGGACCAGTTTATTCACTTTGAGGATTAAGACCTGACAGACCAGAGGCAGGGGAGGGGGAAGGGGGAGCAGGAGGAGAAGAGGGATTCACCCCAGCCTGTTTACTTTCTTTGCTATCACTGGTCTCATTTTGTTAAAAGATTTGGCAGTGGAGGAAGAGAAACTGAAAGACTCAAATGAGGTTTGGGGATTATCTGGGAGGTTCAATTATTCATGTTGTAATAATAACTAACACTTGAAAAGGACTTCCCTCCTTAGCGGTGATGGAGAGCTGGCTATAATTGTACTTCCTGAGCCCATCCTTCCAAAAATGATCAAAGAAATGTAAAATAGGTCCTAGGGGATTTGGGGTTATTTTACTATCTTTCCTCTTGCCTCCCCTTATCTGCCTCCCTCCCCCTGCTCAGTCCACCCCTCTCTTTTTACCTCCTCCCTCCTTTGGATAACCTGTCCTCTGGCCAGGTCTCTTCTCCCCTCTCCTTTTCCCTTCCCAGGCCTCCAGAGATCCCAGGAGGTGAGAAGAGGCCTGCTGGGAGGGCTGACAAGTGATTCCTCGCAGGCACACCTTTCTCTCTGCAATTAGGTGTGTTTGTGAAAAAGGTCTGAATAAACTAAATCCTACTTTAATTTCCATTTAGCTGAGCCCTTAGGTGAACTTTTTTTAAAATGCAGACTCAAGCCCAATTTATCTTCCTGTCAATCTGAACTTCATAATAAGTGACTTTCTTAAAGCAAGTTATGCCAGGGTTGTCTCCAAGGCCCTAAAGAAATTTTATGAGGAGCTCTGCTAAAACTCTGGACTCCCTGAAGACAGCAAACATGACTTCATCTTATCTGTATCCTCAGGCTCCAGCACACGACCTGGCTCGATTAAAAAACCTGATGACAAGGGAGTGACATGTATTGGAAAGGATCAAAAAGAGGAACACCCTTTTCTCCAGGAATATAAACTATTGGACCAGGCGACTAACAGGGCTACGGGTGGAGAGTGGGGGTGTGGGGTGTGGGTACTGCTCCTAAAGACCTTTGAGCTGGAAACACTGCTCACCCACCTGATGTCTGGAGACCAGCTTCAGGCGGTCATTGAGTCCTTGCCCAGGTCTGTAACGTTGAGATTCCAAGGGCAAAGCCACTAGAAAAGCACTTCCTGAGCTTTTCATCAGGAAACCGTCCCATGCGATCAGAAACCAAGGCTGTGAGACTTCAGAGGCAATGATCCTACAATAGAAGGAAAAGATTTTCCCTGACCTGAGGCTTTTTCCAGCCAGCTCGAAGGAGACCTAACCTCCAGGCATAAATATAGCTAGCTGCAAGCCTTCTAAGGCTCGGAGACTTTAATTTTGCCGAATGCATATTTGTTTTCCTCACACAAAGCCTATTTTTAATCAATTGCCAGCTCCTCCAGTCCATTTCCTGGAAAGGAGGCCAAGAAAAAAAAAGTGGGAACAAAAGCATCAGGCAGTCATTTGTAGGGCGCTACGGAAACAGAGTTTCTACTGTCCCCTCGAAGCCACAGACCTTCTTTGACGTCAGGGGCAGTGAGGTTTTAACACCAAACCTAGATGATTCCGTTTCAGCCTGTGCAGGAAGGTGGTTTCTTTAGGATACAGCTCTTCAGCGGCTGCCTTCTAGCCTTCCCTTGGCTTTGGAGAGGTCAAGTCAATATCACTGGTTTTTGTTGTTTAACCTACAGGAAGCGAAAGGAAATGGGGGTGGTTTGTGAACTGCTGCCACTGGTAATAAAATGAAAGACGATAGCTCCCTTTCATCCGCTCCTCCCTTTGGCGAACTTTTTCTTGAGCTCCTACTATGTGCCAGGGACTGTTCTAGAAGAACACATATTGATAAGATAACATTTTGCCCTTAAGGAACTGAGTTTACCAGGGGGATCATTGAGAGGTGGAGAAATGTGCCCAGAGGAGGTGCAGAGCCTCTATCTGTCCATGGGGAGTTGGTGAATAGTTCCAGGCCCTTATGGAAGAGCAGAAGGATGCCCTTCGGCTTTATCCAAGATCCGGTGCCTCCTAATTTGTTGAGTGGGGACTGAAACAAAGAGAGGTTATCTGTTTCTCCAGATATACTCAGCAAGTTAAGAGCAAGTGGGTGAAAGCCCAGATTGGGTAATCAGTCTTACAATCTGTCTTTGAACTCAATTACTCATTCCCCAAGTATCTGTTGATGACCCACAACAATTCTCTCACTGAGCTCGGAGGCAGTGAGGGAGATACAACAGAAGTGTAAGAGATAACCTTGCCCTCTAGAGGTTAGAATTTAGATGATGCTATCATGTCCACCTTGGCCTTGTTTGCAGCTTCAGCTCTGATTAGGCTCCAGGTAAACATCGGATCAAATGAATAGCTACATTACTGAAATATGCAAAGTGCCGAACTAAGAAGAACAGACTGAGGTTGTGGGAGCCCAGGGAGAAAGGTGATGAATGGGCACTGGAATCCTTGAAGAATGAGGTGAGTGTGTGGAAGCTCTGCACAGTGGGAGAGATCAGGAGAGGCTGAGAACAGAAGGCAGTACCTCCCATGCAGGGGGAGAAATCTGAACAAAGGTCTGGAATAACTACCCCACCTGGCTAGTTTGGTGCTTCTGAGGACAAGCCTGACTGAAGTGTGGATTCCATTTTGGAGTCAGATCATGGCAGATTGAGGAATTGGGGCACATTTTCCTGAAGGTAATGGAGAGCTGTGGAAGGGTTTTGATTAGCTGAATGACTTAGTTTTTTAAATGTGTTAGGAAGCTGAAGCAGGCTGTGGTGGGCTCTGGCAGGAGACTTGGCAGTCATGAAGGTTTGAGGGTGGGAGCTGTGAGAATACAAAAGATGGGATTTCAGAGAAAGTTCTGCCCGGAGACTGAACCAAACGGAATCATGAATCTCAAACAGAAACAAACCACATTAATTTGCTAAACCCTTAACCAGATCTAGTATTAATGTTCTTTTGCTCCATGGCTCTGTAAAAATAACATGGTAGCTGCTGAACCCGCTCAAACTGAAACCAAACATATATTCTCTACAATTATTGAATATTTTTCAACAAACTACTAACCAAGCCTCATGTTGTGGTCTGTGTCCTTAAAGCATCACTACCTTTAAGAACACAATTCAGGGGTTTGAATCATTTTGCCAGAGGCTGGCTCTTAGAAGGGAAAAAAAAAAAACAAAACCCAGCTACGTGTTCAGGTGGTAGAGTACTTCTAGAGCACTTACATTGTGCTGGAATACTACTTTCGTGCATTGACTTGTGAAATCCCCCAGGCTCAGAGAGGTTAAGAAAGTTGATCAAAAAAAGAAAGAAAGAAAGAAAGTTGCTCAAGGTCAGACGGCAAATAAGTGACAGAGCCAGGGTTCAAGTGCAGTCTGATTCCAGAGTCTGCTCAGCTGTACGGTCCGTCTATCTATCTACAGGTGTTACCAGCCTGCCCTTGGTGTATTAGGGCATAAGCACTTCACTACTTTCAAAGATAACTTGAGAGAAGTCAGAAGCTGATTCTCAAACCTCCCCTGCACCCCTACAACCCTACATTCACCATTACACACAGGGCTGCCCTTTACAGGGGAGCATCCCTGTAGAGTGGTGCCTTTTTGAGCAGTCAGTCATCTGTGTATCTTCCTTGTCCCATCCCCAGGCCTGAGTACTGTGCCCACTAATAGGAGGCTCTCGGTGTATGCTTCCAGGCGGTGCCCAGCTATGTTTAAAAATCCTGAAATCCAGTTCAAATTCTGATGAATTGAAACGCTGTTAAAATTCCACTGTGGAAGCTTACTATTTAACACAGTGGGTCTCAAAGATCAATGAACTCAGTTAACACAAATCCCAGAACCTAACCCCCCATGGCCTCAGAGTCTGCATGTTTAACCATTTCTTTCTCAAAGATGCATGCGCACACACAGAGACGCACAGAGACACCCACGGATAACACACCAACACACACAGGCTGGCACACAGACATACAAACACAGATGATTTTGACACAGACTGTCACATAACCACACTGGTTTCAATTCTTTACAGATACACTGGTTTTAAAGAATTCTAAGTAAGATAATTCATCTGTGAAGTTTAAAAGTCTTGTGTGAATAATCTCTCCCTGATTCATTTTGGAGGTTAAACTTTAGTTGCTTTTTTTTTTTCTTCATTTTTTTGGTGTTCTTATAGCAGGAGAGTCACATGTAACAACCATCCTGATGCCAGGCTGTTTGGTTGTAAGTTTAAAAATCACAGTGTTTGAGATTCATGATTGATTCCAGTGGCCAAGTTGTAAAATAATTTGCAACGGCCAGGAAGACAGGAACTTTTGTTTAATTAATTTAACAGGTAACATCTTTCCTCAGTGTGTTTAAATGTGTGGAGAGATTTCTCTTCCTCTTTTTGTAAAAGCCTCCAATCCCATCGGATTAGGGCCCCACCCTTAAACTTTAAGGGCTTCCCAGGTGGCACTAGTAGTAAAGAACCCACTTGCCAATGCAGGAAATGCAAGAGACTCAGATTTGATCCCTGGGTCAGGAAAATCTCCTAGAGAAGGGAATGGCAACCCACTCCAATATTCTTGCCTGGAGAATTCCATGGACAGAGGAACCTGGCGGGCTGCAGTTCATGGGGTTGCAAAGAGTCAGACACAACTGAGCACTTAACAGTATCCTATACCTTAGACCTTATGATCTAATCTTAATTTATTATCTTCTAAAAAGCCCTTCTCCAAATACAGTCACTTTGGGAATTAGGGTTTCAATATATGAGTTTCAGAGGGGGACACAATTCAGTTCATAGCAAGTAGTGGGCTAGAGAATGACGGAGCTGGATGGGGGATTATCTTTGAACAGAGTGGTCAGGGAAGGTCTCTGTGAGGAGGCGCTATTCAGATTTTGTGCAGGAACTCAGCTTTAGTACTTTATTGGGACGTTGTTTGTTGGCATTTCGTTTTGTTTTGAGAAAGGAAATACTGAAATCATTGAAGCCTGAATTCAGATCCCAGCTCTACGGCTTACAATTTGAGGAAGTTCCTAATGTCTCTGTGCTTCAGTTTCTTCATCTGTAAAATGGGAATGGGGGCTAATACTTACGTCATAAATATTGTAAGGATTCACAGTGCTGCCTAATAGAACTTTCTGTGATGACAGAAATGCTCTGTCCAGTATAGTAACCAGCCACTAGCATGACCCTTAAAAGTGTGGCTGCTGAACATTTAACGTGTGCCTAGTGAGGACGGAAGAACTGAATTCTTAACTTAATTTTAATAGACGCCTGTTGACTAGGAGCTGCCATAGTAGCACAGATGTGATGTGTCCACGTCTTAGCCCTGTGCCTGCACACAGCAGGTATTAATAATTGCCATCTAGGATTAACATTAGCGATGGTAACAAGTATTTCTCTAGCAGATAGGAGGGGTTTTGGGGATGGGGATAAACAGCAGTGACACTTTGATTCATTATACTATCTTGATCCCCAAGTGCATTCTTGGCTTCCATGTCCGTTATGATAGTGTCCCACATGACCCCCTGTCTTTTCACTGGGCTGCATGGTAGCCAAAGCCCTGGGGGACAGCCTGCTCCTGGCGACTGACTGGGTGCCCTTCTCCCCTTCCAGCCGGGTAGAGATCACCGGTGGCTACTACGAGTACATCGACGTCAGCAGCTGCCAGGATATCATCCACCTCTACCACCTGCTCTGGTCTGCCACCATCCTCAACATTGTTGGCCTCTTCCTGGGCATCATCACTGCCGCTGTCCTGGGGGGCTTTAAGGACATGGTAAGGAAGCAAGTAACTTCGAATTTCCACAGAGGCCCCTCTTCCTGTAAAGGGTGGGGCAAGGCTCAGCTGGTGGGGGCTATGGGGACCCACGTTTTGAAGGGAGGAACAGAAACCATTGCTTCAAGAATGTAGCTGCCTTGGGGGGTGGGGAGGGCGGGATTTCCTGGTGGTCCAGTGATTAGAACTCTGTGCTTTCACTGCCCAGGGTATCGGTTCAATCCCTGGTCCAGGAAGTGAGGTTCTACAAGCCACATGGCATGTGGCACAGCCAAAGGAAAAAAAATGTAGCTGCCTTCAAACATCTTAAGTCAAAGGAGCCAGGTCATGTCCTCAGCCTGCAAACATGTCTTGTTAACATGAGACATTGCCTGTGTTTTTGATGCACATTCTGGGGACAGGTGGGGTTCATGCTTGTTATGTAAACATAGCCTGTCATTACCCCCACTCAACCCACACACACTTTTAGTAGAAAATCTTTTGGGGTAGTTTTCCTGTTACAGACTTTGGGAGAGCTGGAAGGAAAGACGTTTTTAGCTACAGGTAAGAAGTATGGCTGTCTCCCCCTCCCCAGGAATTTCCTCCTGCAGTTTCTCCAGAAAGAGTGAAAGTGAAAGCCCAGCCTCAGGCTGAGCTGCTTGTCCATATTCCTGTGAGTGTGAATATGCACCTCAGGGCTCAGCACCCAGGAGGTCCTCCATAGTCCTGGGGGCCTTCCCTCTTTTGCTTTTAAAGCTTTTGTTTGCTTATTTAATAAACCTTGATCTCTAATTTATAGAGATAATAGCTTTAGAGCTCTGGTTCTCAACCTGGCCTCCTATTAGAATACAATCACCTGAGGTGCTTTAAAAAACCTGCCGGCCTGGGCCACTCACTCTAAATTGAAGCTCAGGCAGCAGTACTTTAAAAAAAGCCCTCCCGGTGATTCCAGTCTGTGGCTACACTGCGTGCATGCTCTGTCACTCAGTTGTGTCTGACTCTCTGTGACCTCATGGACTGTAGCCCGCCAGGCTCCTCTGTCCATGGGGATTCTCCAGGCAAGAATACTGGAGTGGGTTGCCATGCCCTCTTCAAGAGGATCTTCCCAACCCAGGGATCGAAGCCACTTCTCCTGCGCATCTCTTGCATTGCAGACGGAGTCTTTACTGCTGAGTCACCAGGGAAGCCCCATGGTTGAGTAGGGTTGCTTTAAAGGAATGTCCCACCCATGTCTAGGAAATTATTTTGTGCCTAAAAAGGGCCTCCTTTGACCCCAGAAATGACACAGATAACCCCTAGGCCCTTGGCGGTTTCTGTCCCATTTGGGGCGTGGCTGAGGAACCGGAGGCTGAAAGTCAGTTTTTAGTTTGGGCCTGGATCATCAAAAGGATGAGTAATGGAAACTGAAAGTGGAATAGGACCACAGAAGAGGAAAAAAAACTGTAGTTTGCGGCAACAACTTCCCAGCAGAACCGGGCTGACTGGTAGTATTGAGTGTTCCTGCTGTTGACCCTATGGCCAGAGAAAGTCTTCCCTGCTCCTATCCAGCCTGTCTGTCTGTCTTTTTTCCCCTCTGTCTCTTACGCATGAGGCTTCCCAGGTGGTTCAGTGGAAAAGAATCCACCTGCCAAGGCAGAAGATGCAAGAAATGCAGATTCGATCCCTGGGCCGGGAAGATCCCCTGGAGGAGGGCACGGCAACCCACTCCAGTATTCTTGCCTGGAGAATCCCATGGACAGAGGAGCCTGGTGGGCTACAGTCCATGGGGTCGCGAAGAGCAGTTGTAACTGAACACACATGCACACTCGCATTCATTATTTCCACACCCCTTCTCCCACTCAGGAGAGCTCAAGCCCTAAGCCTGGTGGAGGCATGGGGCTGGGTGGGGGGCAGCTTGGAGGGAGAAGGCTGTCCTCTCAGTTCGAGCCTGAGGGAGCTTTGGCATGAGAAAGCTTCTTCAGAAAAGCTGTTTCTGGATTGGGGCTTCTTTGGAGAAAACAGTGCACTTTGTCCTTTTCTTTAAAACTTGTATTGGAGTATAGTTTCTTTACGAGGTTGTGTTACTACTATATAGCAAAGTGAATCAGCTATACATATACATATATCCCCTCTTTTTTTGGATATCCTTCCCATTTAGGTCACCACGGAGCACCAAATAGAGTTTTCCCCAGGGGACAGACGAAAGCAGTGGTCTTGTGTAGACTCTGAGCCGCTCTGACTAGAAGCGAAGCTTCTGGTTGGGGTTGGCGAGTTGAGATGGGACATCCGGTGGGTGTTAAGGGTTCTCTGAATTTTCTCTGAGCTCTGAGACGTGGACAGCCAAGCACCCTGAGGCACAGAGTGACTGGCGGCCACCTGCTAGGCTCTGTGGGGCTCCTGCAAGGACCCCTGTCACAACTCAGTTGACCGTTGATGTATAGATTTATTTCTGAACTCTTTTAAAAAAAATCGTTGAGGTATAGTTGACGTTACTATAGCATATTAGTTTCAGGTGTACCGTGTGGACTGTTCATTTCACTGTGACCTTTGATCTCTAGGGGAGTAGGGGTTTGCTGACAGTCTGTCCTGAGAGGTGGCAGTAATGGCTCCTTTACTCTCTGTAAAGAGCTTTTGCACAATTCCCTTCTCCGCTCCTCCCCCACTACTACCACCTCATGAAGTATTACTCTCACCATTAACGGTTGAGGAAACAGGCCCACAGGAAGTCAAGTGACCTGCCCTGGGCTAAATAGCAGAGCTGGGAGTGGAACCCAGGTGTGTCAAATGCCAGAGCCTTTGCTCCCACTGCTCCATCCCAGCTGCCTCTGGGGAGCATTTGGCCAGCCCTTTCTGGTTCCATAGGTGTTTTAACAGACATCACCTCCTTTGTTTAGTTTCTTTAATTTTAAAAATTAAAGGCCAGTTGTTTCCAACTGTTGGGAGCTTCTCTGAGAAATGAGGAGAGTGAGGGAAGACCTGAGCCTCATCCAGTGCCAAGCCTGGGAACCCAATAGAGGGCCAGTAGGGAAAACAAAAGATGAAGGCAAAGAGCAGAGGCAGGAGATTTGATTCATGACAGGAGAGAGCAAGTATGAGCTATATACTACGACAGGGCACCAAAGAGGAACCATAGTTTTGATCGCTTTATGAAAATGAGACATGGTGTAGAAAATCCTGGAACATCAACCAGAAAATCCTTGGCCTACGTCCAAACGTGCTTGGTGCCTTGTGATGATGTGTCTCCACCCTGAGTAAATGCCTTGGGGGCCTCAGAGAGGCCCAGGGGTGCTGGCTGATGAAAGGCATTCCTGGGGAGTGAGGCCAGGAGCCAAAGGCTGTGAGCTGGCAGCCTTCAATGGGATCAGCTCGGAGCACTGTTTCCAGAGTTGTGGGAGCCTGAAAGGAAAAAGGACGTCTTCATTCCCTGACCAGAGGGGCTTGGTGCCAAGGATCTTGAAGAAATGTTGGATGACCACAGTGTTTGCGGCTGAAAGATATGAGAACTTGAGATGAATCATAAGAAGTAATAATATCTTGCCATTTTTTGCTAGTGTCTCTGGTGTAAAGTAGGGAGAAATCAAAGTGGTCTTCTTTCCAAAGTCCACAATCATTGTCTTTGAAGGGACTCAGTTTTGTCTGGGCGAGATGGATTTGACCATTTCCTATGCCTGGAGGAGTAAATGGCTACCCACTCCAGTATTCTTGTCTGGAGAATCCCATGGACGGAGGAGCCTGGTGGGCTACAGTCCATGGGGTCGCAAAGAGTCAGATACAACTGAAGCAACTTAGCACAGCACAGCACATTTCTTGTGCTTGTGAATCACTGTTTCACTGGAGCTCAGGATGCTACTCATCAGAAGTGGAGATCTCATAACTTAAGCCCCAGAATTATTGGTACAGAAACACACATTCCTGTGTACACACATGAATAGAAACAGAGCCCAGATTTATTGTAAAAGCAGAATTATGGATTTAAAACTGTAACCAGACCATGCTCTGGGGCAATCACTTTTGCTCCTTCCCTGCCCACTCCCAACTTCACCCCCCTTGACACACTCAACCTCTCTTGGTACCTTGTCCATTTTCTCTACATCCTCTGCACCTTTCATCTGTGGCTCTCCTGTGCTTATTTCATTTCCCCCCATGTGTTTCTTTCTCTATAATATTCAACTTCCTTTCAAAGAGGATCCTGCACCCCCAGCCTTGCTACACACACAAAACCTTCTCTAGATAGTTTATATTCCCCGATTGCTTCTCTGTGGTTGCATGTGTGTGCTCAGTCGTGTCCGACTCTTTGTGACCCTACGGACTGTTGCCTGCCAGGCTCCTCTGTCCATGGGATTCTCCAGGCAAGAACACTGGAGTGGGTTGTCATTTCCTCCTCTAGGGGATCTTCCCAACCTAGGGATTGAACCTGCGTCCCTTGTGTCTCCTGCACTGGCAGGCGGGTTCTTTACCACTGAGCCATCTGGGAAGCCCTCTTTTTGCATAGAAGAGCTGGTTTCCTTTTGCAAGAGTTGGAGGGTGTGGTTTTAACTGGCACAAGGCCAAGGGAACATGATTTCTGGGACTTCCTCAGGGGTGACATTTCTTCTTGGAATCCTGGTGGAGAGGTAAGGGCATTGCTGAACACTACTTGTGTAATGTGAGCCAGCCCTTGGAATGGTCAAGACCTCAGCCCTCTCCCACACATGAGATAGGCTGAGAAACATTTCTGTGGTTGTCTGTGAGCAGCATCATAATGACTGAGGTTTGTAGCTCTTCAAACTTCCTAGAGATGTAAACAGTAACCCACTCCACGGAAGAGAGCAACAGACTGTGTTGAAACTTGCTCTACGGGAGTTTCCTCTGCCAACACCCCAACATGGTTGCCTGTGCCATTGCCAAAGCCTGCCCACACATTTTCATCACTTGAGAGGAAGCTTCTGCTCGCCGTTAACGCAAAGTAGATACATACCACAAACAAGACACATGGACTTTGTGGACAGCTCTAGATTACACGCACGAACAGAGGGGGTGTCAATGACATGGACCATGGAAAGGACATTTCTCCCACACCTTGAGCCATGTGGCACTCATAAGGTACAAACCAGTCCTGCTTGGGAACTCATGCGCAGTGGTGACTTCCCCTAGCAGTGTTTTGGCCTTATTGAAATCCAGACTCACATCCTAGACAAGATTGGCTTTAACCCTTGAAGGGCTACACACACCACCATGTTATAAAAAGAGTATTCAATTCTTTCTGCATTGTTTCATTTTCCCAAAAATGTGTGTGTGTGTGGGGGGTATCAATATACTGTACTTGGTCTTGGTTTCAGTGCTAGGGTTTTGCCTCCAGCCCACAGGGCTGAGGCAAAGTGAATACCTTCATGTGTGCCTGTGAGCTCCTTAGTGAGGTTGGAATCTGCAAGAATCCTTACAGTTTTTACAAACTCTTCATGATTGATCATATTTTTGTCACAGTGAGAGCAGTATTCTTGTTGGTTTGATATTTTGTATTGGGGGGAGGTTCTCAATTTTTTTTCATTTGTGTTTTTGAAAGTCAAAGATTTCAACTATTCTATTGGTTTGAATTTTTCAAAATAGTCAGTGTGGGGAAATGACACAAGTGATACATAGTAGTTGTGAAAACTTTGGCTGTATAATTGAGAATAAAGAGTCCCCATTTACTTCCTAACACCACTGCCCTCCCCAGAGACAGCCATAGCTAACAGTTTGTTGTGAATCTTTCCAAATTAATTTCATTGACAAGTGTATATTCATATATAATTGTTTGGGTCTTTACATAACTGGGATTATGCTATAGGAATAGAACGTGGTGACTTTTTAAAAGATTTTATTTTTAGAGCAGTTTTAGATTCACAACAAAACTGAGATGAAGATACAGAGATTTCCCAGAAACTTTCTTCCCCGACACACAGCCTCCCCCGTTATCAGCCTACCCTGTTATCAACATCCCCCGCAGAGTGGTACATTTGTTAGCAAGGATGAGTGTATATGGACGCATCATAATTACCCAAGGTCCATAGTTTACCTTAGGGCCCACTCTTGGTGTTGTAATTCTATGGGACATAGAATATTGGACAAATGTATTGGACAAATGAATTCTATTGGACAGGTGTATAATGACATATATCCATCATTCTGACAGCAAACAGTGTTTTCACTGCCCTAAGTAGCCTCTGCGTTCTTCCTGTTCATCCTTCTTCCCAATCCCAACCCCTGACAACCAGTGATCTTTTATTGTCTCCATAGTTTTGTCAGTGGCTTGCTTTCTTAAACATTGTTTTTAAGTTTCATTTTTGACTGCATGCAGGCTTTCTCTAGTTGCAGTGAGCAGGGGCTCCTCTTCGTTGTGGTGTGTGGGCTTCTCATTGCCGTGGCTTCTCTTGTTGCAGAGGCTGGGCTCTGGGCTCTCAGGCTCAGCAGTTGTGGCATCTGGGCTTAGTCATCTCGTGGCATGTGGGATCCTCTCGGGCCAGGGAACAAACCTGCATCCCCTGCATTGGCAGGCAGATTCTTAAGCACTGAAGTACCATGGAAGCCCTGTTTTTGTTTTTTATGTTTACAAATATATTCTGGACAATTTCCCTGTCACTAACTATAGGTGCACATCATCGTTTATCAACAGCTCCATAGTATTCTGTGGTATGGATGTCCCATGGTTTATTTAACCATTCTCCTAGTGATGAACATTTATATTGTTTTTGATTTTACAGAACCCAACTCTCCCAGCACTGAACTGTTCTGTTGAAAATGCCCATCCAACTGTTTCTTACTATGCTCGTCCTCAAGTGGCATCCTACAACACCTACTACCATAGCCCTCCTCACCTGCCACCTTATTCTGCTTATGACTTTCAGGTATGTTTTGAGAGAAAAAAGAAGTTTCTGTTACCCTTGCTCTCGCTCATCCTCTCTTGTTCTCTCCCTAATTATGGATCCTTCCTAATCTATATGAGGCAGCCAGGCTCTCCATCCCGCAGCCTGTGGGTACCCGTGAAGCTTAACAACTGCATAGGCAGGCAATGATGGTGGAGGCTCGGAAAGACACAAGAGGAGATGCAGAAGAGTGATGGACGAAACGGGGAGAGAAGGAGATAGGATTCAGATGTCCCAAGTGGCGCTGACCCCCTGAGGTACTCATGAGTATGTCACCATAGACTCCTGTCCAATGGTGGCTTTTTCCATTTCTCTGCCACAGGAAGAGGCTTGTCTAGTCCTGTTACATAGCACAAGGACATGCTGAGTCACACAAGGGTTTGAATCAAATCTGTAATGAGAAAGCAGTCCCTTCTTTTTTTCTAGACTTCCTAACTGGGCCTATACAGAGAAAATATTTTTTATAACACCCTTCTACCTTCCTTTAAAATTTTTTTTGCCTTGTTATCATGTGGGTCAGAAATAGTGTTACCAAATTTGCACTTTCCCATTTTCCTTTTGAGCTAAGATGAAGCACAGAAAAACAGAACCCAAAAGGCACTTCATTAAAGGGAATTCATTGTACGTGGGCAGAGCGCTGAAATAGACACTTCAGGAAAACAAACGAAATGGTCTTTTAGGCATTTACAGTGATTATAAACCCCAGACCACAGAAGAGTGGGATTCCACTCGAATCTGGTTAGTTCAGGATTTGGGGACCAGGGAAATGCCTTTGAAAGGAGGCAAACCCATAATGAATTTCATTCTATTGACTAAGAGTCCTGAATGTTCCAAAGGGACATAAAAGCATGGCTGTTTGGGGGTGCTTCCAGTTAACCAGCCAGTTTAGAAAAACAGAGCCCTTGGAAAACCTAGTTTCTGCCTCAGATTAACAAAATAATTGAAACTGAAAACACTCCCCATTTAGTTGAGTAAAGTGTACTTTGGTTTGATTTAGACACTGTATGGGCAGGTCTAGGACTCTATACCGCAATAGGAATATGTCTCTATAGTGTGAACGTGGACTTGTTGACTGTCATAAAATATAGCACCAGCACAAAGAGGCATCCATTAAAGCTTGGGGGAAAGTGTTAGAACTTGTTTTAAAGCCTACTGTATTCACAGGTAGACAACTCAGGGAACCTGTTTCCCAAACAAATAATATAGACTAAAAAACACAAATATGCTCTGAAAGGGCATAGATAATTGCAGTAGTGACAGGGGCAAAAAGGGATCCTTTAAGAGAATTCAGGGACATTGAACCTAGCATAAGAGGGTCGCCATTCCTTGAGGCATCCATAACCAAAAGTCGTCCTGGGATAGAGGGGCCACGCATGGCTCCCAAGAGGCTGCTTCCATTTTTTTTTAATATGGAAGTAAATTATATTGATTAGCTTGGTTTTTGGACTTTTCACTTTATAACAAACCTCTGGAGTAGGAACAGTAACCTCCTTAGTAATGGCTGCTGCAAACTCTTAAGATAGGAAGTCCCTGTTTATGTAATGGAGCTATCTTTCTGCCTATCATTACTCATTCCAAACCATCCCAGGCATGAAAACAAGGTTGCCCAATGCCAATGGTGGCCCAGACTGTCGGTTTCAGTTCAGTCAGTGTTCCCATGTGCCAGACACTGTACTCGGAGCTATGGATGTAGAGACTGAGTAAGACCTAGGCCCTGCATTAAGAGATCAGTCTAAGGACCTGAGTGGGCATACCCAGGGGCAGCAGTGAGGACAAGGATGTATATCCAGGTCTGTCTGAGGCCAGAGACTGGCTTGGGGGATTCTTTGGAGAAGCTGTAAATCTGAGCACAGTATCGATCTTTTCCCCAGTTAGTTTCAGAATATTTCCATGTTTTACTGCTTTAAATTACGGGCTTTCTAATCATTACTCAGAAAGGTTCTCTTGACTCGCTATTACCGTGTGATTACATGGCTCCCCACTCCAAGGACTGCTGGGCCACTTCTCATACCTCTCCTGGTTCTTTCCAGAGGTTCAAGCTGTCTTTTATATTTCCTTTTTGGAGACTTTCTAAAGTTGTGGGTTTTAAGGGATATGATTTATTTATTTGGCTTCACTGGGTCTCCAACGCAGCATACAGGCTCTTGGTTGAGGTGTGTGGGCTTTCTCTAGTTACTGTGTGGGCTTCTCTAGACGTGTCACATGGGCTTAATTGCCCTGTGGCATGTTGGCATGTGGGAATTTAGTTCCCTGACCAGGGATCAAACCTGTGTCCCCTGCATTGGAAGGCGGTTTCTCAACCACTGGACCACCAGGGAGATCCCTAAGGAATATGTTTTTAAGTGGTATTTGTTTCCCTCGAGAACTTATACAGCATTTCATTTTAGTATTTGAATGGAGCTTTCTTTTGTTCACCAAGTTCCAGTCCCTTATCGTTTCATACAAGGAAATACCAGTCTTTACCCAAGAAAGCCAGGAAGATTAGGGCCATCTGCTGTGTTCCCAGATAAATGGAAAGCAGTCAGCAAAATGCATACCAGCTCTGACAATAAAAGCAGCAGAAGCACAGACCTAACAACAACATCCAAAAGCCAGAGCTCCATTATTCTCTTAGATTGTATTGGGGGCCCAAATAATAGCAGGAAAATAGACCTTTCTGGGCTTTGTTCTGAATGATTTCCCCAATTTCATCATTTCCAAATAGAACTATTTATGTCACCTTGAAGACTTCTCTCTCCCTTTTTACCCCTGAGGCTGATGAGATTTATAGGGTGTTCTTTTAACCCTGCAAAATCACACCCTTGTTGGGTAGCTGTCCAGTAAGGAAGCTTGGGAAGCATTTCTTGTGGTCAGATGGGGGCGAGGATGTGGATCTGGTCAGGTGATCCTGAAGATGTCGTGAGGGCTGAGCTTGGAGAAACAGGATTCTTGCAGACATTGGACTTGAAGCCAAGGCTGTCAGTGCCTCCTTGCTTACCTTCCTGCACTCACTTCTCTTGTACCTTGCACTCACTTCCAGGTAGCCAGGAAGTCCATATCCTGTAGGGTATGAAACATCAGTTTCTACTTCTGCTGGGAAATTCAACCCTGTGTAGCTTTGGGGTCCGCTTCCCTGGGGGCTCAGTGGTAAAGAATCCACCTGCCCAATGCAGGAGATGTGGGTTCAATCCCTGGGTCAGGAAGATCCCCTGGAGAAGGGAATGGCAACCCACTCCAGTATTCTTGCCTGGAGAATCCCATGGACAGAGGAGCCTGGAGTGCTACAGTCCAGGGGGTTGAAAAAGACGCCGACTTAGTGGCTAAACAACAACAACAAACTTTGGGGTAAATCCCTTAACGATTCCAGTCTGACCTACTGGGCCAGAACCCCTACTTCACTCTAACCATGTCCCTGTCCTGTCCATTTGGTGAATCGCCAAGTTTAGCTTAAAACATGAGCCTTTGCAAAATGCCACTGCCTCTGTGGATGGTCTTTATTAAATCACAGAAAGGTACACTAGGTTTTGATGTAGCCACTGAAAAGGATCCATTATAAACTGGGCCTACTGAATGAGAGGGTGGAGGCCGTCTTGGGGGAGGTGGTAGATGGAGCAGGTGACTGACAACCTTAGAAGGCTGCCACTGCCACTCAGCCTTCTATTTCCCCTCTCCTGCCAAGCTTCTCCTTGCCTCTCCTCTCTCTCGTTTCTGATCCCTCCCTTTGCTCCACTCTTCTCTCTGTCTCTCCTGGGTTTGCTTTCTGGGCTGGAAACAGAAAATGAAAGTGAAAGTGAAGTCGCTCAGTCATGTCTGACCCTTTGCGACCCCATGGACTGTAGCCCACCAGGCTCCTCTGTCCATGGGATTCTCCAGGCAAGAATACTGGAGTGGGTTGCCATTTCCTCCTTCAGGGGATCTTCCCAACCCAGGGATCGAACTCGGGTCTCCCGCAATGCAGGCAGACCCTAATCTCTGAGCCACCAGGGAAGTGGAAACAGGGGGAATGCAAAGAACCAAGAGGCCCTGGATTTTACCCTTGGAACACAGCATCTTTTGCTGGTGTAACCTTCATCACCCGGTCAGTTACAGGGCTCTTTACGGAGTCACTGCCTCCCAGCGCTTTCAAAGAGAGAGGCACACGTGACAGAAATGCACATGGGTCTTGCAGAGTGTGGGTTCGCCTGGGGCAGGGAGGGGCAGATTGAGGCGGGAGAGGAGTGTCTGCGAGGGTGCTCCCACCTTCTCTGTCCCTGCAATAAGCCACCCCAGCCTCTCAGAAGCAGCTCAGGAAGCTCGGAACCCAGCAGTAGGCTATTTAGATGCTTTTCATGCTTTTCATGCTTTGTGGTGTGAAAGGATTCAAAGCTCTGTTCTTCTGAGTGGCCCGTCCTGTCCCGTTAGTCAAGTCTTAGGCAGGAACTAAAATGCACGGGGCATGCTCCCCAGCTGCAACAAAGCCGAAGCTTTCCCAAGGTGCCTGCCTGTTGCTAGGAAACTGTATGCTGGTGCCCACCCCCTCCAACCCCGCCATCCCAAAGGCGGAGGGGTGGACTACCGCCTGTTAGCTCCCTCGCTCTGCCATTTATCCCTAAGACTCCAGCATCATCAGAGGGCAGTGAGAAGCATCCCACCCCCATCTCCCTAAATACCTTCTTATACGGGAAACTTCTCTGGTAGCTCAGTTGGTAAAGAATCTGCCTGCAATGCAGGAGACCCAGGTTTGATTCCTGGGTGGGGAAGATCCCCTGGAGAAGGGATAGGCTACCCACTCCAGTATTCTTGGGCTTCCCTTGTGGCTCAGCTGGTAAAGAATCTGCCTGCAATGTGGGAGACCTGGGTTTAATCCCTGGGTTGGGAAGATCCTCTGGAGAAGGGAACGGCTACCCACTCCAGTATTCTGGCCTGGAGAATTCCACTGGACTATAGTCCATGGGGGTTGCAAAGAGTCAGACACGACAGCGACTTTCACTTCACGCGAAACTGAGAGGTGAAAACCCAAGGTGGCTGTACCACCCCCTCTTAGGATCAAAGTCTACAACTGCCCCCAGCAGCCTGTTACTGCCTCTCAGGACAGAATGGCCTTTAGCTCCACCTTCGAAACTTGCCTTCCCTTCTGTGTTTGGGGGGCGGAGAACTGGCCTTCTGACTCTATCCTGGAGCGGGATTTAGAAAGGCAGAGTGTCACATCTCTGGACACAGAGATCTTGTCTCTGGTGGAATTTTGCTTTCCTCTCTGGTTTAAGAGGACAGTGAAAGCAACAGAGGAGGAGGGAGAAAGAGGAGAGAGCATGAGATCAATGTCAAAGGAAGCATATCTCTTCCTGGAGTGAAAAGAAATTTGGAGATTTTTGGAAGCAATCTGGCTTGTCTCAAGTCAACTGCCTCAAGGTCTTTTATCTTTTTTTTTTTTCTGCTGCACCATGCAGCATGTGAGATCTTAGTTCCTCAACCAGGGATTAAACCCGTGCCCTCTGCATTGGAAACATTAACCACTGCATTGTAAGCCTTAACCACATAACCAGGGAAGTCCCTCAAGTTTGTTTTTTTTTTGTCTTTAAAGGCTTTCTATGACCCTGTTATTCCTTCTCTTAGATCAAAAGGGTGGATGGGGTGGGGGAGGATTGGTCCTGACATTATGTGGTAGGAGACAGAGATTTCAATGTCTAAAGCAAGACCTCGAAACCAGGATACCCCTTTCTAAGGAGTGCGGAGGTCAGGACTGGGGATAAGGAGAATCAGCCAACTGGTTTTAGGCTCCAGATACCTCCTGGCAAGGCTGACTCTAGATTGTTCTAGGCCTGGAAATGACATGATCAGCTTAGACTCCAGGGCTTCCCAGGTAGCTCAGTGTAAAGAATTCACCAAGCAGGACATGAGTTTGACCCCTGATCCAGGAAGATCCCCTGGAGAAGGAAATGGCAACCCACTCTAGTATTCTTGCCTGGGAAATCACATGGACAGAGGAGCCTGGTGGGCTACAGTTCCTAGGGTATCCAGGAGTCAGACATGACTTAGCAACTAAACAATCAACCACTTTGACTCTGGCCAGCAGAACAAAGTAAAGGCATTGACCTTCCCAAATAGCACTTGAACTCTTGAGAAATTTTGGTATAAGTGGGTCTTTTTTTTTTTAATATAGCAGTTCCTCCTAGAGCTAAGGCACAACAGAAAATTGCCATTATACATACCCTATTCGTTGGCTTACGTTTGCTCTTATTGGAGACCCCTCCAGCCTTCAGGCCTCAGCCATGCTCCACCACTGGAGCAAGGCCACGGTACCCACAAGATGTGACTGTAGCCTTTGAAAATAGATTTTATTTCTAAAAAACATGCCAAGTTCATCTTCTGTGCTCTATGCGTGACTGAAGTCTTAGTCACTCATCCAGCATTGATTGAGCAACTTCTACTTGCCAATCACTGTTCTGAGCTCTGGGGGAGAGAGCAGTGAACAAAACAGGTCAACTCTCCTTGAGTAGGAAATTCAGGGTCAAGGGTATACACTGGCCAGGAAAGAGAAGTGGCAGATTGACTCCTAACATGCTGATTCACTGGGTATTTTTTTTTTATCCTATATCTCTCTCCCTTCCCGAAGTGCCATGCATGATCCATTGCTCTGTCATATCCAACTCTTATGATCCCATGGACTGTAGCCCACCAGGCTCCTCTGTCCATGGGATTTCCCAGGCAAGAATACTGGAGTAGGTTGCCATCTCCTTTTCCAGGAGAGCTTCCCAACCCAGGGATCGAACCCATGTCTCTTGTATTGGCAGGCAGGTTCTTTACCACTGAGCCACCTGGGAAGCCCTCCCAAAATAACACAGAAGTAGGAGCAACAGGATAACTGACTGAATGAGAGGTCCAAAAGGCTGGGAAAGAGGATTCCAAGGCATCTCTGCCTGAGCTTTGCAGCCTGAGAAAGTGGGACCAGTTCCATTTCATGGCCCTCATTAACCCTGCAAGGCTTAGGGGCTCTTGGTTGCTCCAAACTGGAACACACTGGGTCCATGTTCATTTTTAAATAATGACTAATGTTGGGGAATTGCAACCTCATGGTGGAAACTGATGTTTTATTTTGATTGCACAGCATTCCAGCGTCTTTCCATCCTCCCCTCCCTCTGGACTTTCTGACGAGCCCCAGTCTGCTTCACCTTCGCCCAGCTACATGTGGTCCTCAAGTGCTCCACCCCGTTACTCTCCACCCTACTATCCACCTTTTGAGAAGCCACCCCCTTACAGCCCCTAAAGAGGAATGCCCACTGGCTGTTGAGATTATTGTGGCTTTTGTATTTCTGCTTTAGTGGAAGTGTGTAGGGTACAAAATTTAAAGTGTGACTCATAAAGTTTGACAGTGGCCTGCCAGGCTAGGGAAAGACAGGGAAGAAGTTTATTTGTTATTAGTACAGAGGAGGGGTGGCCAGGCTGAGCCCAGCAGTTCTGAGCAGGACAGCGCGAGGCTGGGGAGCCATCTCAGCAAGAAGCGTGTCTGGTCTGGGCCTGCATTACCCTATGGCCCCACCTCTGTAGGCCGCAGGAGCGTGGTTGCCATCTGCTTCACTTGGTGTAAAAGGAGTGTTGTCCTCACCCTTGGCAGATTGCCACCCTAGCACCTCAGCTGAAGCGCCTGGCTTAGAGGCCCTCTCTTTCCCTCCCACTAAAGTCAGTCCCTAAGGAAAATTTCCCAGAAGACAGGGCTACACGGTAGTTCCAATGCAGAGAGTTCTGGCTAAGATTTTGTTTGCTTGTGTCTGATGCTGAAAAAAGCTGGCCATATCCCTTACTCCTTTCTTCTCTGTATTGTAAAAATGGCTGTTGTGATCATTCAGCTCAGCTTTTGTGATTGGTACCTCCCAGAGGGAAAAGTGCAATATTCCTTCGAGTAGTGGGGAACAGGATTGATTGTTCAAGAAGCACTGACATACACAGAGCAGCATGTGAGATGTTTAAAGTAGATCCCAGTTATACATCAGGTAACTTAGGAAAACAGCGGTTTACTACATGTTGCATTTGCTGTGGGAGATAGAAATCTTACAGTTAAAACTGAGTTTTAAAAAATGCTAGATTAGGTTCTTGGGTCGTGTTATCAACTGTTACTAATCTTTGTGACTATTTAATCTTCAAATATTGTGCTTCAACCCCAGCAAACCGCACGTATCCTGCACCCTACCCCAAAAGAATCATCTGTATTTTAATGCCACTGCTCTAATTGGTCCTTTTTTTCTGTTGAGACCAATCGTGACAGTGTTCAAGATTATGGAAGTGTTACAATGCCGCTTTAAGTCTGCAAAACCTCAAATGTAGTCAACTTGACAAACTCTTAAGTGTTATTGTAGATTTAAAATCCATCTGGCACATTGTGGTAGGTATTTGTACAGTACTTTTAATTATACATAGCTTTAAACCTCAACCTGATGAATTTAACACTTTGGCACCCATGCCTTCACTTCAGAATGAACACTTTCATTGCGATCTTATGTTAATCTGAGAATTGATTTAAAGGAAGATCGATAATCCTACACTTGTAAAAAAATACAGGGCTATTGTATTTTAGACAGATCATATACAGGAAAATTTTCCAGCCAATTTCGCTACCTCCCAACTTGATGGAATAGAGGTAGCAGGCAAATGCTGGTGCTCCCATCTACCTTGTAGACACCCAGCCATCAAGAATTCTCAAGGCACAACAAGTGCGCTCACTGTTCACAGTAAATGTTTGCAAAACATTCAGTTTAACTTTTGACATCACAAATGATGTCTCATCTGAATTTCAAATCTGAACAATTATAATCTTTTTGCGTTATATAACACTATTATTTTCTACTGTTCTGAGCATATTAAAATTCTATTGGATTTCAAAAAGGGACTAATAACCAATTGACTTACTATACAAATATCAACTTGTGATACTCAATGAAATTTCTTGCTGTTTACACTTTACATTTTGCTTTACTGAACGTGTATGAGTATTTAATTTTCTAAAAGGCACCATTACACAGTATATCCTACATTTATCACATTTCTTAAAGTGTTAAGATTCTAGGACTCATTTCTATGTATTTTTCTTACTTTACAAAATAACTTGAAACAGTATAGATTTTGTAACTTAATTTTAGCAGCTTCTTTTTTTATTACATTGAATTATAAGAACTGCATGTTACCTTAGAAAAGTTAATATTTGCTGCTTTACTCTTTTGCAAAAACATTTGCTGTAATGAAGGAATTTGTATTTCCAAAATGTACCTTGACTGCATTTTGTAATATTTACCGCTTTATTCCTAATTCTGCTTTAAAGTATTGAACTGGGCATGAAAAATTAAAATATTAATCCAGAACCTGTGTAAACTGGATGTTGCTTAAAATCTGTATCACTGCCATGTTGGAAACCCAGACTGCTTTTGTGATGTTTCAAATTAATAAAACTATCCTCCTCCTTATCAGCTTACATGTGTCTTCATGGAATCAACAGAAGTATCACAAATGCTCTAAAGCAACTGACAGCAGTTGACTCACTTCTGACTATTATGGTTCAAGATATAATGGGCATGCGATTAACCAACATATAAAACCTAACAGGAAATTCTGTCATACTGTCATCAGAAATATAGTTTCAGTCTCCTGCTACAAAAACTGAAAAACAACAGAATGTAATAGTCTATATAATTAATGAAAGATCATCTTTAAAAAAAAAGACACTCAAAAATCAGAATTAAAACATTTTATTTTTGCCATAAGAAGCTCTACGAACTAATATCAGGTAACAGTTAATGAAAAGTAGAACTTAAAGTCATGACAGGGAAGACTATACAAGTATGAACACTACAGCACTGGGTGGAAATGAACAAAAGTTTCATATGATTGACAGAGGTGAGAAAGCCAGTGCTGTTGAATTAGTATTTAATTCTTTAGAGTATGCACACCTTGACGATACAAAAAACTTTTACCATTTTTACCTTTATCTTTTTGGTACAATGGGAAAAATGCAGCATCGATTCCTCATAGTGGTTGTATGTGGGGGATCATTACCAGCAAAATGACAAAATATATTTTAAAGTGAATCTCTCAAGGTTGCTATGGCATATAAAAATCTTTGCTTAGTTTGAGCACTTTCATTTTCTGTCATCTCTTTGAATAAGTTGCTATTTCAAACAGTTCCTATCCAGAATATTTATAGGTAATTTAGCATAGGAGCAAATCTGAAGCCAACTTGAATGAAAAAAATAGTTCAATTGCCAGAAAACTAAGTATAAAATAGGCAAACACCATGACAGGTTTTGAACAGCATCTTGCTACAGATTTCCAACCCCATAAACACTGGGAGTGAAGGGTTTTAATTCCCAGAGAGTATTCCACATGGATTCTGAACTTTGGATATAGAGACTTATAAAAAAACTGAAGACCCTGACATACGTTCAAGTTTAAGAGTCTTCTGGCAAAAATACAATTTAAAGTGAATTTTCCAGTTTTCCTCCTCCCACAAAACTCTAGAAGATACCTTCAGTAGGCAAAATTGAAATTTCAGACTCAGAACTTAGATAGAGCACAGCAGCAGTAAATAATTATATCAAGATAATTCAGAATGGATAGTTTTCCATTATAGAATTCCTAGTTTGTCATAATGGCATTGTAGAACCAAGTTTTACTGAAAAAATGAAAGTGTTTGTTGTTCAGTCGTAACTGACTCTATGCAACCCCATGGACTGTAGCCTGCCAGGCTCCTCTGTTCATGGACTTTCCCAGGTAAGAATACTGAAGTGGGTAGCCATTCCCTTTCCAGAGGATCTTCCTGACTCATGGATAGAACCCAGGTCTTCCCACTGCAGACGGACTCTTTACCATCTGAGCCATCCAGGAAGTTAGCAGTTAAGTCTGAAAGGATTGGAAGTATCATTCACACTTGTTGAATTATGTCTAACTGGTGAAACAGCATAAATGAAACAAACAGATTTCCACTGAAAACATTTCAGAGTGTACCCTATAGTCAAAGAGTAATGTTATCAATACATATATAGAAAGGAAACAGATATTGCAATTCCAGAGATCAGACTCTTAAGCTGTACGGTAATTTTAAAAATTTTCCAAGGATTAGTTTACAAAATGGTCTTAAGATCTCAACTCACAGAACGGAAAACATAAAAGATGTACATCATTCTAACCCTCGGTAAGCAAAGGATTGTATTATTTTTCTTTCTCCTTGTATTACTGCAAACACTGATGCCTGATACCCTCAGTTACCATCTAAGAAATACTGAAATCCTTATCTTCAAGTCTAGCTTACTGTCAGAAGGATGACGTATACATGAGAAACTGATTAAAGCTTTAAGTTCAAAGTCAAGAAATAGACTATTTTCAAAAATATATTGTTAAGGAGAAAGAAAATATCTATCTTGAATTAAGAAATACTTAAGCAAGGTTACAAAGGACTAATAACTATGCACAACAATCTTTTTCAGTATCTAATCATATCTTTTTTCCTTTGCAAAAATTTACAGAAGTTCAACAAGTCAATCCTGTTATAAATGCTAGGCTATATATTTGTTCCAACCTGCTTCCCTTTTAGTACTGGCACTTCAATAAGTTTTGACTTTATTTTCTAAGTGTTTAAACATGTGTCATTTTAAAAGGGAGAAAGGTGGTATTCATTGTTCTCAAGATAAATGGGAATCAACAAGCCTATTTAACTTCCTTGTATAGCTTCTGATTGCTATAATACTGCAGCAATTTGCAGATGGGATGGAACTTATTTAAAGAGTAAAAACCTAAAAGGTCTTGCTGAAAGGAAAATACTAGATATCTGATTCAGCTATGTCAAATAAAAACTTCCTATTAGAGATTCTAAGTAATATGAACATTTAAAAATACATGCCAGTAGCCTCCCACCCAAAATATGTAGGAGTCTCATTTATGAAATTTGTCATTTATAAAGATGCATACATAAAGATTAGTTTGGTGGTGTTCAGATTCAAAATTTTAAAATTTCATAGGGATATTCTTTAACCATAATGAGCAAAAAGGAAATCTCCATTCACTTCCATTCTCTGTCTCTATCATATAAGAGCACAGAATTTAAAGCAAATATGATAAAACTTTTAATCTCTTCCTGTCTGCATTACAGAGATTTCTTTTTTGCCCATAGAAACCACACTGCAAAGGTATATATACAGTAGTCCAGGCACCAAAGTCTTTTCGAGACTATGGTGATAAAAGTGAAGTTTAATTCTAATTAGCCAAAACTCGTTCATTCTTCAAATGAGAAACTTGTCTGCACGGCTATTTTCATAAGGGGTGGGAGGCAGGAGGCTGCTATCCATTTGGGTTAGCAAAATACACAACCAAGCAGAGACTTACTCTGAAAATTCCCAGGACAACTTTAGAAGTTCTCATTTACTCTTTATGCCATATACAAGACACAACAGACATTTATAGTCTCAATAATAAGAAAATTGAGAATTCAGCAGTAAAGTGCTAACACGGAAGGGGAAAGTTGCAAGATATACTAGGGTATGCTAATAACTCCAGTTATTTTCAAAGAACATTCAAACTGATTCAAATTCTATTCAGGAAACTATCTCTCCAAGCTTTTTTTTTTCTTTTTGCCTCTTTTAAATGTGCTGAAAGCTAACTATATAAACAGATACTTGGGGAAGGGGTTAAGTTCTCAACCTCTATTCAAACTTTCAGAATAATTTGCTTCTAAAAATTATGAACAAATAATCCAACTAGACTACCTTCAGATGACATGGCAGATCAAATGAACTTGTTTTCACCTTTGTTTTACAGGTCTTCTGAAAGCCCTGCCCCTTAAATCCAAACCAAAACTTTCTGATATTTCAAAGGAGTTCAATAAGATTCTGGTATTATAAATTCAAACTCAGTACTGCCATCTGTTACATTCTGTTTAAAAATGGAATCATTTTCCTGCTGAATAAAAATATCTTCCCAGGTCATGGGCTTGTTCTGAGGAGCAGATGTGGTCCCTACTGGAGGTTCTTTCCCAGCATCAACCTTATACCCAATACCGTCATCCTTCATTACAGGCATAGTGCCTGACCTATCAGAGAGGTATGCATATTGTCTGATCTGTAAAGACCTGCATGGATGTAAACGATAAAGCTTCGAGTCTCCAGAAGGATCTTGACTATGAACGGACTTTATGTGTGAAGACATAAACTGATAGTTGATGAAAGACTTGCCACAGGCCAAACATTGATACCTTCGCTCTCCTGTGTGATGAATTTCATGCTTCGTGCGATATTCTGCAAGAGGAAAGACCTTTTCACAGTAACGGCAAGGATACTTCTTCTCCCAAGAATGAATGTTAAAATGTCTCCGCAAGCTTGTCAGGCAGACATATGACCTTTTGCATACAATACAGATATAATAGACCCTTCCATCTACTATTAACTCATAGTGATCATCATGTTTAACTTTCATACGTTTATTTGCCGTCTCATTGCTAGGTGTTTTTGGTATCTCGTTCCCAAGTCTGGCCTCCCCTTCGTCAGGGTCATCTTTGACAGGGATAACTATATCATAAGTATCTTCACCAATATTTGCATAAACCTTGCAACCCGTTGACAAGCCTTCAATTTCAGTAGCTGTATCTAAAGTAATAATCTTCTGGCCCTCCATTAGATGTTTGGATCCTAAACCTGGATCATTAGTGTTTCTCGTAATTATATCTGAAATTTTTAAAGAATTGGACACTGGCTCTTGCAGAAGTGTAGGAATCTGCATCTTCTGTATCAACGATCCATCAAAAGTGGTATTTGGGGGGATCTCAGCCTGTGGGACCAAAGATGTATTACTGACAGCAGAATCTGGACTGGAGCTAATAGTGTCATCATCATCATCTATAATCTCCTCCTCCTCCTCTTCATTGGCCTTGTTTCCTGGTAAAACAGCACTGTTTGGTGGCTGTTGATTCTGTACAAGTAAATTGATTGAAGGAGACATATGATTTGGAAGTGAAGAACTGACATTTGGTGGTGTAGTAAGTGGTGTCTGATTTAACAAAATGATGTTGGGAGTCAGATGTGTTGGGGCCGAAGACACCAACAATTTTTCACTTCCCTGTGTCTGGCTCAGAGTTGCCTGATTCACAGAAGTAGGAAGTTTCTGAGTAGGTGTGATGTTTGTTAAAGGGGGAGAGCTATTGCTCACACAAGGTGCATCATCTGAAATAGCAACAGAGCCTGGGTTAGGCTGGGCCTCTGCCACTGTGTTGGTACTTGGCAAAGTCTCCTTTGCAGGCAGGATCTCAGAGCAGAAAATGACATCATCGTCGTCATCATCTGAATCAGTAACAATGATCTTTTTTGTCTCATAATCTTCAGCAGACAAGGAAAAAGATTCTGTTATAATTGGCATTATAGTGGCCCCATTTTCTTGGGATTCATCCTTTGATTTTTGTATTTCAGGAGGTGAAGTTTCTGCATTACCATCCTGAGCTGTACCTGAGATGCTTTTAACCTGTGACAGCGGGACACCAAGCTCTGCTATAAATTTAACTCCTAATAACTGCCCTGATTTAATTAACTCATCAAGTAAATCTGATCTAACACGAACAATTTTAGAACTATAGATATAATTGAGAATTTCTGCAAAGATCTCTGCTCTTATAAAGCTCAGTTCAACAACTTGCCCAGCAACTGAGAAGAGCTGATGGAAGTAAGTACTAGAAGCTGAAAGAATGTTCCTATGGGCTCGGAATTTTCGGTCTTCCACAATAACAGTGACATCACAGAAGAGTCCATGGCCACGTTGCTCATTCAAGGAGTTCAGCAGACTGCCAGAGTATTGAATGTCTGTAGCAGAAATCAGTTTTCTACTCTCCATGCCTGTAAGAGAAGGGAGAAGGGGAGATGAGTGATTAGGAAAGAAAAACACAAGTACTTCATTATTTAGAATTTTAGCTACAGCATCATTAAATAGTTTATTGGAGTTTTAACAGAAGTTTGGTGTAACTTTTTGGTTTTCATATAAACTGTTTTTACAGGTTTTTGTATATAACTGTTCTTTGGACCACATGTCAAATCTCATGACTTCCCCCTGAGAAGAGACAAGCAAGTTTTAAACTGATCTACAGATTTGAACACTAATCTCTTCCTTTGAATCTTAGATACATGCATCAACACTAAGCAATTTTTAAAGACTAAAGTTAATTTTCTTGTTCCAATTTTGGATTTTCTCAAAGAGTTTAGAGTTAATTTTTAACTGAACACTTTAAGAAAAATCTTCATTGTGAACACATAAAAAGTTATTTCACCTGTAAATGAATGATGTGTCAGAAAAGCTTGATGAGTGCAATACTAAGTCCAAAATAGGTAGTCTTCCTAAACGTTAAACTTATCTTTAACAACATATTCAACAGCTACTCCCTGCGGCCACAGACTGAACCAGCATTCATAAACACTGGCGACTATTACCTCTAAAGTTTTTATGTTGTTATTTTAACAGGGATGCTTCATCTAGATAAACTATGAAACACCTTTCTTACCCTCTCCTCTTTTCTTCTTCCCCTCACCTGTCTACCCACCACAATGTCCAGAGATGGAATGTTAGAGTGCCAAATGAAGTCAACAAATGCTATTGCGAAAAACAAAACAAGGGAAAAGTCGACCATTTCTTAAAGCTCAATTGCGTGAAAACACAAAACATTTCATTTTGTTGGGAAAGAATTATGAGCACTGATACGAGAATTTTCTTCACACAGAATGAATTAGTGAAAATGAAGATATAAACTTACTGGAACAGACCAGACATCACTCTAGAAGAGGAGGAGAGGGAATGTCAAAAAATAGTACTGCTGTGTACCACCCTCTAAACAATTTTCAGCACAATTTAAATACATAAAATGATACATGTATATATAATTAAAAATTAGTTGATAAGTCCTTTTGGTAAAGAGACACTTCTATTGCTAGTATATATTCTTTCCCTTTAGAGTTACCAAAATAGTACAACTATCACAGTGCTTACGTTATACACATGTGGAAGGCAGGGTGTCTCAAATATCTTCTAAATTTTTCAAAATTATAGCTTAGAAACAAAAAAAAGGGAGAAAAGTCTAGGAATCAAGGATTTAAAACATCATGTTATAAGACATTACTTGTTAACAGTACCAGGGAATTCCAGGCTACCATAAAGGCATTCATCAGAAAGGGTGACCTTTGGACAGCGAGCCAGCCATCAGCGCTTCCGAAATATGGGCATTTCGACACAAGTCACTTTTCAGTGGATAGACAGGTTTTCTGAATACAGTCCCACTATGTTTGTCCTTTGCAAATGGGTTTTCCCAACGGGGCAAGAATTTCAATATATGCGTCCAGGTGACACCAGGACTTGGTTTCATTTTGTCTTTCCCGTCCAGGTGGACCCAGGATCAGCACAAATCGGTCTGAACCCATCCCAACCCCAGATCCGCGACCTGACCGTGGAAAAGCCATTCTGCACGCCCGTGAGGCAAATCCCTGACCGAGGGCAGGTGACGTTTGAAAAGAGAGACGCCACCCGAGAGAGTGAAACAACCTACACGCGGCTCCCACAACGCGGCAGCTGAACCCCATCTCCCTCTGTCCACTCCCTCTTCCCCACTCGCACCCGGCCGGCTGCAACCGAGTTTTTCGACCCGGATTCACGTGGAAAAGCAGTTTCTTGCAAATACAGATGGAAGGCCGGCCAGCACGGTCAGGGCGGGGGTAGTCGGGCGAGGCGGCCGGCCAGGGAAAGTAGAAGGTGGCGAAGCGGAGGGTGGGGTGTTGGGAGGGGATGTGGCCAAGCAGGCGGCATTGTTATGCCCTGGGAAGGGGAGGATGGGCCTGGCCGAAAAGCTCTAAATCAAAGTCGGGGTGAGGAGGGGGAACTGGCGCAAAAAGGCAGGCGAGGGCCGTGGAAAACGCCGAGTGGTTCTCCGCGGTGGGCTCCCCAAGCTCCGGGCCTACCCCGGGCCCTGACGGCCCCTGACGGCGGAGGGGACCGCGCCGCGGCCCTCCTGGTTCGTCCCCTCCTTAGCTCCCGAGCCCACACAAAGAAAAGGGCCGGAGGAGCGGAGCCTCCGACTCCGCCGCTTCCTGGTTCAAGTGAGGAGAAAGCGAAGGCAGGCGCGGCCCAGAGACGGAGGAAGCCGGCGCGCTCCCTCGCCCCCTCCCGGGTCGCAGCCGGTTCCTCACCTGCTTCCCAGCGCCGCCGCTTCTCGTCGTCGGCCCGCGCGGAAGGGTGGGAATCCTCCAACAGTCAGAAGCCGGACTCTGCGGCGATTCGGCTCCTTCTTTAAACGTCGCTCCAGTCTTGGTCAACGTCGACGCGGCTACCGCCTCCCGCCGCCACCGCTGCCACAGCTGCCTCACGCCGCCGACAGAGGGCACCGCGCGTGGGCGAGACGCCGAAGGCGAAGGAGCCCTCCTCTTCCGAGCGCGGTTCGGCTCTTTCCGGAGAGGCCCGAGCGCTAGGCCGTCCCACTTCGGCGCCCAGCTCCGCCTTCGGCTCCTTCCGCAAGGGGCGGAGGAAGACTGGGAAGCGCCGGGAGCGCTCGGCCCCTTCCGGAGGGCGAAAGGGTGGGAAAAAGGAAAGGGAAAGGGAAAGATGGGGCAACGCGGCAATAACGGTTGGGATGCGCGGGATACTAGTCCCTTTTCTCTACGTTCGTGTAAGCTTCCAGGGCGTAAAAACTTCGAGAGACTAATAAGGTTTCATTTCATTTGAAAGTTCGAGACTGCCCTATTTAATAGCCTGTTTGTTAGATGATAAACCAATCCTAAAGGAAATCAGTCCTGAATATTCACTGGAAGGACTGATGCTGAAGCTGAAGCTCCAATATTTTAGCCACCTGATGCGAAGAACTGACTCATTGGAAAAGACTCTGATGCTGGGAAAGATTGAAGGCGGGAGGAGAACCGGATGAGAGAGGATGAAATGGTTGGATGGCATCACTGACTCGATGGACACGAGTTTGAGCAAGCTCCGGGAGTTGGAGATGGACAGAGAAGCCTGGCGTGCTGCAGTCCATGGGGTTGCAAAGAGTCGGACACGACTGAGTGACTGAACTGAACTGAAACCACCTTGACAAATAATCAGAATGAATATAATCAAACGTAATGAATCAAGTCATGATTTATAATTCAAGTTGTAGGATAACAAGCACATTCTAACACCTACTTTGAAGAAATCAGTTTTTGGGTAAGTACTATATTCTCAACTGAATACTAAATGATGCAATATTGTTAATTCCTTCCTTGCAACTTTTCTGACCACCTGTTTGACCTGTACCAAATCTTATGTTAAGACTGTGTGGAATACAAAATGAATAAGCCAAGGTCTCTATCTTTTCAAAGAGCTCAGTAGATAGGTATACAAACATCGACAAAATACAGAACACAGAGAAGGAACTAGCAAACTGAATTAGACCTGCATCTTGAAAGACAAATAGTAACACTTGCATTGTGTGTGTTTATTACTTTTATTTACATAGCATTTCCTGCACAGAGGGCTTTACTGTCCACACATAGTAGGTGTTCAATAATTGTTAAGTGAATGAATACATGAATGAGTTGTGGTAATTTGAAAAACTCCTCTGATAATCCACTTCTGACTGAGTACCATGATGAATGAAGTGACAGGATGGGTGTTTGAAGAGCCAAATATTTCCCTTCAGGCTGGTTATTGATCATAGTCAACTAAGGAACCAAAATAGTAGCATTTTCTTCAACAATTAGAGCCATTCACTATGTTCATTTTCTTTTTTTTAAATATATATATATATATATATACAGGATAATAATTGCATCAGTTTCCAAAAATTTGAATTGGCACTTATTTACCATTCAGTTGGAATCCTTCCACTTTCTTCCTACAAAAATCCTGAAGAAAATGTCCATCAGGATATCCCAGAATAAAAACAGATCTACTAACTATATTTAATTTTCTTCAACATAAAAGCAGACAAGAATGTCATCATCTATTGACCTCTAATCTATTCTACATTCTCCTCAATAAAGTCAAGTCACATAGTAAAATATCAAAGTAGTGTAATACAGCTGTATTTTCACATGGAGATAAATCCATACGAAATTCCCTAGGCGTTTCTCCAAGGTTTTGTATTGTTAAAAAAAAAATCTATGCGGGAATCACTGCATTATTAATATAAACACATTTCATGGAAAATAGAACTGTGCTGTTGTAAAAGAAATTAAGACAGATGGTAGTGTTTTCCTGGCAACTGAGCACTTAACAAAATTACTCAGAACATTAATGATCATTTTTCTGAGTCATCCTCTCACAAAATTTAGTAGCAAAGAATATTTAGGAAATAGGACAAAGTACATCTTGAAAGTTTAGGATCTATTTATCTTTCAGTAGCTTAGTTGACAAAAACTAAAACAAGATATTTCTTTGAAATATAGATCATAGTAACTGCCACTCTTGATATCAAATAGGTGTCGGTTACCTCTCAGTAAACTGTAAGATGCAATATAATTTCTTTTACATCAGCGCCAACAGCTGATGTAAAACACCAAGACCTCCAACCGAATTGCCTAGCCTTTGTCCCCTTCCTGAAAGGGCTTTAAAAGTGTGGAACCCCAGCTGAGGTATGATGAAGGCCTGTTACTTCAAAGTGTAGAAAACTGCCTCTTCCCTTCTGTCCACGTGGCTCACTCCCTAACTCAGCAAAAACTAAGCTAAAATTAAGAAACTGCCTATAACCCACACACCTAAGGTCAATTAATCTACGACATAAGAGGCAAGAATAGACAATGGAGAAAAGACAGTCTCTTCAACAAGTGGTGCTGGGAAAGCTTGCTAATGTAAATCAATGAAATTAGAATACTCCCTCACACCAT